CTAACGTTATACTTTACGCTCATGACTTTTCTTGAATACTTCTTATATATACCTACTTCTAGAAAATGCACAGTTAACAATCTTAAATTCAGTATTAATTTTCGATGAGATTTCAGAATTTAATTAAATAATCTTCTTTAATAAATCTGTCCTCTCTCTCTCTCAGTTCCAGTTATCTCCCTCGCAGGAAGTGATTTGCTCTCGGAGCATGCGCGATTGCATTATTTTCAATTTCCACTCCTGTCTCAGTGTCTGTGACTGTCATTTACTTTCGAGGGGATTTACATTGCAAGTTGTCAGGTATATGAATGTCAGTGTATAAATCATATTGTTGCAACTATGTCAGTGCTGTTGTATCTTGTTACACGATTAAATTGTCACCGATTCATGCCATTCCTTGAAGTGATCTTTAGTGATGTGTCACTGTACATCCTTCATCTGTTTGTTCAGATGTTCATGTCATCTGTACAGTTCACTGCCTGCTGGTCAGTTCTCATCACAGAAAAAATATCTGTTCATTATAATTACGTAAACTTTATATACCATATCTTTCATGAAGAAACCAGACAACTGATCGTCAGTTGTGAGTTAAACAGACAGGTGGAGTTTGTAAGATATGATTATGAAGACAAATATAGAAAATTGAATAGATAAATGTTCAACAGTTGAATGTCTCTGTATAAGACAATTGTCAAATAAAACCCATGAAGTGATCATGTGATCATTAAAGTTTCAATGCCATCAAACCAATATTAACACCCCAACCCCCCAACCCCAATTTGAAACAGAATTCAGGATTTGCGTATCTTATGTAGTGTTTGTATTTGTGAAAAATTGTGGCAGGTGGGCAGATTTTATTGTATACAGATATTTTTGCTAACCTCATCAAATGATTAACCTATTACACCTGAATAAAAGTCATTTTCCCATCTTGCGTACATATCTTTTTTGATCATGAATTTTCATCAGTCTTTCACATTTACCATACAGTTGTCCTTGTTTAATACATATTCAGCGAACATCATTTGTCAGCAGCCAAAAATACGCCTACATTCGCAGGATTTAAAACAAAAGTTGAATGGTAAGTGGCATATATACCGATCTCAAATCAGAACTTGAATGAAAGCTGTCAGGAATTAAAAAAATTAAGGCAGGCAGCTAGGGAGGAGAATCTAGGAATTTTTTTTATTATAGCCTAAACACTTTTATACTTCATAACTTTAAGTACTTTATTTCTATCATTTATGATTTATCCCCCTCATAAAGCCGTAATTCTCTTCAACATCCTGTTCAAGGTCCTCATCAGTCTTGCTCTTAGCAACCTCACTGTTGAAAATAAAGTACAGCATTATCATTTACAACAGCAGCAGTACGTACGAGTTATGTAACCAAGAATTGTGATCAGAGAATTTCATTGTAGGTCAACAAACCTCAGGTACTTCACAACAAAATTTTCATGATCTGTTTTAATACAACACCTGTTATCATAAAAAAAAAATCGTTTGTTGATCTGACGATGAAATTCTTGTTGTGGTTCTTTGGTACATGTACATATTACATAACTTTGTAAACTAGTACAGTACTGCTGTTGTCAATCAAAATGCTGCATGTCATTTTTCAAGATGTAAAATTCAGCCTCACTGCTCCTCTGCCTTGTATTTCTCTTTAAATTCCATATATTGCTTTGTTGTCCTCAGCAACCCTACATCTTTTATCCAATTTTGCTGTAAAATTTAATGGACCATTCATTGACCATGCTAGTTTCACTTTAATCAGTCTCAATCTGGTGTAAAGAAATATGTATTATGCAATTGCATCGTTATTTTACATGAAAATTGCACTGAAAAATACACCAATGCTAACAGAAAATAAATGCCAGTCATTTGGACCAATAGCGATGGCATTTTTACCGGTCTAAAGCATTTTAAATCAGTCCTGTTGCCATGACCAGCAGTTTCTACATCACTGCACATTTGGTTGATGTCAGATCAAAGTCAAACGATGAGTTCACTTTAATACATATATTTCATGATATAATTTCATTGATCATGTATCAATGATTTTTAAGATGATAATTCAGGTATAAATAAGCCTGTCAATGTATAGAAATGCTTAATAACTTAGATTATAAAATATTTTAAATTTGAATTTTTCATTGATGTGTAACTGTAGGCATCTTGATTTTTGAAAGGTGTAATAATGGTTCTACAGAGATTTATATTTAGAATATCAGTTGCTCATTTTTACATATTAAGACCAAGATTTTAAGGAAATTTCAGTTTTATACACTAGGAAGCAGTATATTATATGTACAGATGCATATCATAGTTTTTGCTAGCTTCCTTTTTTAGTGGTTTTTTTTTTCTTCCATTGACTTCAGATATATTTTTCCTCTTTTGATGGATGCATGACCTTGTTGACCTAAGCTGATAAGTCTACAGGACATGTTTAGAGGTATGGGGACTTATTTTTGACCCTAGTAGGAAGTTGCTTGTGCTTACAAGCATTAGAAACAAAAATCTTCGTGGGAAATAAATTTCAATGATTTTGTGGATACCGGAGTAAGCTTCCTCAATTTCAGATACATTTAATTAGCCTGACAGAATATTGTTCTATATGTATAATACTTTAAATGTGTATAATACTTTAAATAGGTGAAATAAACAGTGTACCACCCTGGAGTATAATGTGAAATTGTGAATTTATTTATACTCCATGAGTTCATTTCCTGGAATATCAAAGTACCAAGAAGCAGGTCATATCTGATATGTGTATTTGATTTTTGTGTGACCTTAGAAGCTAAACTGGATTGCTAAGAGTATTTTGTTTATACTAATTAAAAATATACTGGTATTTTTTATTTTAATTCCTCAAGAAAATTGAAGGTCCACATAAGTTCACTGTGCCATTTTTATGTTTTTTTGTCTGAGTTTACAGAAGTTTTTAACAGCTGTTCTGGGGATTTTTTTTTTTGTAGTCTGACTAGCTCTTGAATTTGTCATCGTAAGATGACTAAGCTCTGCAGCTTGGCAATGCATTCATTTTAAAATGTCTGCATCTTATTATCACAGATTGGAATTTGAATTGTAATCTTGATAACTTTATCACCTGCATGTAAGTATTGACATGTCTATATTTAATTGCCCCTGTAGACTGGTAGAGCTTCTTTTATTTTAAATGCCAGCCATTTGAACAATAGGGCAGATTTGTACATGTGTTATATAGCTCCAGTGTCAAAATTCAGAATGAATTTTATATAAAAAGAATTTTAAAAAGATGTAAAACTTGGGAGTATGAAGTACTGTTGATAGTTTGGAAATGTTTCCCACAGAATTACATCCATGTGTATACTACTTTCGGAAATTATCTATTGAGAAAGTACAAATTTTAGTGTCAGAGTCATTGAAATTGATGACACCGCCTATCAATTATATGTTACAACAATGATTGGGGATTTAATATATCTCTATATATAAAATAAGCGGCAGATTATTATCTGGATAAACCTGCACTTGAGCAAATGAATCACCGAATAGTTCATTGATAAATGAAGGCCTTGATTGTTTTGTGTTTCGAAAGCTTTTTTTTTAATGGAGGACCTCTGAACGTGTGTTTGTTAGCGTAGGTAGAAATCCATTCCAAGTTTAGACGACAGAAACTGATTTGCAGAGAGATTGCTTGAATCGTTAATAATTTTTGTACAAGTTGTTTGTAAGTGGTGGTATTACTCAATTAAAAATTTAATTTCATGTATTTTCAGGACCTCACCAGTGGTTAAAATGTGAAGAGTAAAGCATAATAATTGTGGTGTGTTTGGAATTAGTTGTGGAAGACAGAGGTAGGTATAAGGGTTATAAATGCTATTGTGTGCCAAATCCCGTGACTGCATCATTACACATATTGACAAGTTGTTAGTGGTGTGTCAAGTCTTGTCATGAAGGGGTTCATTTAAAGTATTTCATTGATTCTGCACATTGAAGCAGATTTTTCCCTTATGAGTGGATGTTTTTGTATTAAGTGACTGTCGGAATGTTTATAAGGAACACATAATTAGACAATATTTTACACTCTCTGATGTTTATGTAAATAAAGTATGACTACCTGCCAAAAGACAAATAATGAACGATTCAAAATTTATTTTCTATACCCTTGAGAAATGCTGTATATTTAGAAACTGCATTTTGCGTACAAGTGTAGGAGAACTCTTTCTAAAGAGGTGTTAAATTCATCAGTCAGCTATCAGTTACACAAAGTATTTAAAATTCCTCAGAAGCCAGTGACAAGGTCTTGATGTCAAGTAATTTTTAAACTTAGTGGGAAGAGGTACATTTGTTGTCAGGTGAGTGGACCCCAGACAGGAGCTCGTTTGTTTTGTAAACAGGTGTGTATTACATTTCATGGACAGTGAAATATGTACACTGAGGTTATGTCACAGCAGGGTCCTTTGTGCCCTAGGGGATGGAACACAGTGAATACACATGAATGTGACCTTTTACGACCTATAGTTTCATCAGTGTTTTTGCCTGCCATTCTTGTAAACATTTCAAGCCATTGTTTGCCTGCAGTCTCATGATGTGAACTTTAAGGTGAAAATTTCATTAAAGTGTGAGTTTCTATTTTGAGAACTTTCGCCTCCAACTTATGAAGTATACTTATTGATAATTAAGCTAACAGCTTCCTCATTTTTTTTTCCTTTGGATTTTCACAATATGTGGTGTTTGTACTATTAATGTTGCTAATGAACTTCATGTATAATTTCTTTTTCCTGTTGGCAGCATTAAGATGTTTTGGAGGAGTTTCCCCATCATCTTTGCCTTGGTGCCAAATTCTGTTCTGTATGTGCTGATAAAAAGCAATAGTACCTACTTATTTTTTATTACTTGTGTATTGCATACAAAAACAAATGATCATGTGCTGCAATTCCAAAAAATAGAAATATTAGGAAGAAGAACATTAATTAGGGAAATACCGGTGTTCAAATTTAGTTCAGGAATTTTTTTCCCTGTGAACTAATATTGAGACTTTAAGCAGATGAGCTTGAGTGAAAGGATTACATCCAATGGCAAAACAGTGATGAATGATAGGCCCAAAACACAATGTATATCATTTCTGCTGTTGGTTTCTTATCCCACTAATCAGTGTACAAAGGAGGATTGATAATACACTTAGTTGTGCTTTTGATTATTGTCTCGGATCTCAGAGGATTTCATCAGATATCACAGGACAATTTAATTAACACCAAGGATCGATTTATTTCTTCTTCAGTGCAATTGTAAGTTATCTGACATTGGTTGTAATTGACCCCTTAAAAAATACCCAGTGGAGTAGTTGGTCACAGCTATGATTTGTAGTTATTCATACATGGTACATTGATTTGGTGTACATATAGACAGAGGCCAGAAGGTCAAATAGTTGGGATTAAATGATAGAGTAAATTTGACATTATACATTGGTACATCTTTATTCAGGCTTGTCAAACAGTAATCCCCTATAAACAATATGTCTGAATTCTGATATGACATTTAAATCCATTGATTTACTTCAAAAATACACTGATTGATTTCATGAGCCTATTTCTACTTTGCATTACACAGTTGCTAAAGGGACATGCATGTATGTGTTGTTGACCCACAGTGAGAGCATTTTGCAGACTTGCTCATTCATGAAGAATGCCACAAATATTATTGCATATGGCTTAGATACAATGCTCTATACATGTATTTTCTATGCTTGAATAAAAGAAGGCAGTTTAGCTAGAAAAATATCAATAGTTTGGGTCGTATATTGACTGATTGTTGTATTCAATAAGCTGAAAAAAAAAAGTGTTCAGCTCGCAGTACATGTTGTATTGTTAAATACATATTTTCTTTATAGTTGATACTTTTTTCAGTTAATTAATATTAAAAATGAAAGGCAGATGTGTCTTGTAAAGAAGTTGTTACCAAGCCTACCACTAATATCCTGGGAACAGACTGTATGAGAAAGTTTAGTTCTGACTCTCTGAGGTCTAGAATGTTAAATATAGAGATAGTGAATCAATAATTGGAATGAAGTCAGAGTATCATTTTACATGTGAATTATTGATCCATTGTTTTATTTGTTAGGTTTTTATACGTCACCTGTTAACCTTGTTTGTTGTCCCTCGATCTTTATTTAATTTTGATCTCTTCATGTATAATATGTCATGTATTCGATAATAATAATGTCCAGTTCTTTTGATTTTTCAGATGAGTTTGCCTCGACCTTCGGGGCTGAAGGCCCCCTCCAAAATTGGACGCCCCACAGGGCTCCCCCAGCCCCGCTCGGCAGGTACAGGTATCCCCACCCCTGGGTCTGTGCACAAAGCCCAAAGTAAGCTTTTCCTCACGTTGTCGTTGTTCCTACACCAGCGAGGTCATCTGTGGTCTGCATTTCACTCATTGATTGTCAGAGACCCATGACAAGGACTTCATCCATGAGAGAAGTGCATATTGCAGTTGACCCAAGATGGGGTTCATTATAAATACAGCTTTAACAATTAGGAGCAAGACTGAAATCCATCATTCTGAAAGTCATAAATTTTTTTTGGTTATTTCTAAAGCTTATCATTTTTAAGAAAATGATGAAAAAAATAGTCATAAAAATTTTGAGTTACTTCTCCTTGAAATATTATAGATTCACCAAATAAAAAAGTTCAGAAAACATTGTAAACAAATTCCCTTTCTCTATATTTGAGAACAATATTGGTAATATTGACAGTGCAAAATTCACAGGCAAAAAGAAGAATGGAAGAGTTATCTGTCAATTTATTTGCACAAAATAATGAAGAAGACAAAACTTACCATAATTCATCTTTTTACCAAAATGGAGGGTCTAGCTACATTGAAATATCTTGCTTGTTTTACAGGGTGGATTATTTTTTATTAGTTTCTAATTTTTAGTCAAGACATTTCCCTACATGTAAGTCTATTGTAAGACCATAATTACATGATAGTATTGTGGTAAATGCCATATAAAAACAGGGAATCAGTTCTTCTAAAAAAAAATGATATTGTTACCAATAAAATCACAACATTCACCTTCCAAGATGATAATCACAAGGTCAGCAGTAATTAGCGAACCATATGAAATGAAACTCACGAAAAAACACTCCTCTTCTAGTGGTAAATTCAAAACTCCCTTATGTATAAACGGAGTAGAAAAATTAAAGTTGGAAATGAAAATATGGTAATGGTAAGTATTGTTACCAAAAATGATGAAAATTCATAGTTAGTTAACATGATGATAATCCATCAATTTTCAGAATGATGGATTCAGTCTCCTCTCCTGACTGTTTTAAGTTTATTGGTAAGGAAAAAGAATAAATCTGTATAGGAAATCAGTTATTCATCTCATACTTACATGTAAAATTTGCCATGCCCTGGCCTTATCTATAAGTGATCACTTGAGAAAATTTCAACAAACGTTTATTTTAGCATGTACATGTAATAATTTTGATTGTATGGAGTTAAACATACTGTATGTAGATATTGAACCCCATTTTGAATGAGCAAATTCATAGACGTTAATAAGTTGATCAAAATATTACGAAAATGTGTTTTTAGAAGAATTTTGAATTAAGCTGAATTTGCTGTGCTTTTGTTATTTTCTGATTTTCTTTGTGATTTTGCGTCTCGGCACTTTAGATCACTTGCAGTTAATGGTGCAAACATCACATTATCCAATCGAAATCTTTGCACCTCTGCACCATTTTGAAATCTGTCTCTCGTTTGAAATTTCAAAGTTGGTTGATGTTTGTGCTGTTAATTGGGAAAGATGGGCCTTCATTGTTGTTTTGCAGTGCAGTAATAATTTGTTGCAAATGTTGAAGTGAAATTTTGTCAAGAGTAACTGTGTGCAATGCATGTGTAACTGTCCTATAGAATTCAATTTAGAAAACATGGAGTTATTGGGAAATGCTCTTTTATTTTTCTTGTTTTGTTGTCTTTTTTATTTTCAAACTCAACTTTCTGGCTTCATATCTGATGTTCTGGTGCATGAATCCTTTTTTTCCAGCAAGCTTTAGCATCATGGCACTTACTTGTACTTTTCACCCATGGACTTCTGAAATCTTACTTCTAAGACTCTAAAAATATTTTTTTGAGATTACTTTTTAAGAGGGTATGTGGACTATGTAAACACATTTTTTTTTGAAAAAAAATCTCAGAAAGTTATAATTAGTGTCATACACAGTATAGCCAACATGAACAAACACATTCTGTAAGAATTATCAATTAGTCAATGTAGGAAGGGGCTGGGTCACTCAGAGTCAGAAGGGGATGGGGTCAAAGCCACGAAGTTGAGTTTGGATCCTGTATTATCCCTCCCTAAGTTGTGACTAGTTGCTGTGTATGCTTGATTTGTTGAAGGTGCTATTGCTAAGAGCGCCCGAGCTGCAGGTATTAACGCCAATTTAGCAGAAAAATATGCCGCCGAGATGGTCCAAAAACTGCCAGGTAAAGACAGATATATAGAGACATAAACAGATATTTTTGAGACATTTTTTTTTGAAAAAAATATTTATGATGCAGTAGATTTTCCTCAATTAGATGTATTTTTAGTGGGAAATTCATAGTAGAATTTTTTAATGTGTGATATTTTAGCTGGATCAGAAGAAATATATATTAATCGCCAAAAAATCTTGCAGATAGAAGTTTTCATACCCAGTATATATCACAAGTTTCTTCCATCTCAAACAATCATTTTTGCTATGTTAATTGCTTTCTAGTTTGTTTAATAGATTAGATTCTGTTTTTGCACTTCATTTTGGCTCATATGTCTTTTAAAATTTTTGTTGGGTAAAAAGCTGCTTTATTTTAGACCATCTTGTTTTCATATAGAACATTTGCAGATGCTTTGTAATTAAACGCAGGCTTCATAGCTTGCAAATTTATTATTTATGAATGAAAATCCTTGTCATTCATGGATTTCTCTTTGTTTAGTGTTATTTTCAACAATATACAAGCATTGTAGATATTTGTACATATCAAATAATGTAATTAAATGTATTCATTTTTATTAAACTTCACTAAAAGGTCGAAAAGGTAAGAAATCTACTGTAAACGGTCAACTTGAATTCTGTGTATTAATGCTTCACTTACATTTTATTAATTGGTTTAAGATTAAGGGCTGTCTCTGTTTAATTTCCTTTAATCAAGATTAAAACTTTCTTTTATCTTTAATTAAATACTTCAGTCAGTGAATGGGATTTTGCATTTTAACTGATGTGAACTAAAGTAATCGCTTTCTAAACAGTTTAAAATGATTACAATGAAATTTTTAACAATAAAGATTGTGTTCATCTCATTCATGATGTTCAAAGTGTAAATGTTGGAATACGTAATTACGTAAACAATACATAAATATTGGTTAAGTAATATTTATAAACAGTTGGAACAAAAGGTGAATATTTATTTATAGTCCCTCTGCACAGCTTACTTGTTTTGTCTTCTGGATGCCTAAGGGCCGGGTTGCCACATTTCACTGAAATGTCCAGCTGTGATGCACAGTACCATCACCTATTCTTTTAGGCAGGATTAATTCAATGGAATTTTTTAAATATTACATTCCAGAAATAAAAAAAAAAAGAGTATTAACCATGATTATAAAACATGAAAAGAAATTTATATATTAAAACAAGTAAAAATGAAAATTTTTCAGCATCAAATTTAATTTTGTTGAAGCTTTTTCGTGATTTGGTTTTATCTTATTATTGTAAAAGAATGTTACACGTGTGTTTTCACATGGCCTTATTAATAAACATAAATAGGTTTGGGCAGCATTCAGCATTTCAACCTCTATAGAATTTTTACAATGTAGTGCTCTAATATAAAATGCTGTACTGGCCGGGGTATTTTGATGTAATCTAGACAAGGAAGCTTTCCGATATGTAGATATACATATAATATTCTTACATTTGTATCGTAAAAGTAGAAATACCTTGTGGGAATCACCATCCTTTTTAAGTACCTAAACATGTACTTGTACTTGTTATTGAAATACCAATTTGGTTGTAAGCCGTGTAATCCTAACTTAAAAAGTATTATGAATCATTCTTTGTTGAATTTCTAATTTTAAGTGTTTTAATAGAAATATATATACTTAATTTAGATTTAATAAACTTTCATTAGTTGTTAGAATAAGCATCATAAGATTTTATTGCTATTTATATATCATATTATATGTATGTATTTCCCTGCACAAATTCCCAATGCAATGGTGTTTTTTGTACATGTATTATATAGCAAAATTCCAAGTGATTATCAGGAATTTACACGGACTTTAGTTTTAAGTTTATTTTTATTCAAGGATATGATTTTGAAACAATAATTTTAAGGATTTCTTGTCATCTCTGATGTAAATACTTGATAAAGGAAATTTGTATTACAACCATCCAATTTTTGATAGTTATTGAAACAGATAACGATTTAACACATCCATAGTTGATTTTTTTGTTGCCTTCTTTGTATTAAAATTACAAATGGTTGTTTGTTTAAGGTCCAGATGGCCTGCCTCCCCCTCCCCCAACTGATGACTTCATCATCGGAGACAGAGTATGGGTCAGTGGGACAAAACCGGGTCACATTGCATACATTGGTGAGACCCAATTTGCCAGTGGAGAATGGGCCGGTGTTGTATTAGATAACCCAGAGGGTAAAAATGACGGTGCAGTGCAAGGTGTCAGATACTTTCAATGTGAACCAAAAAGGGGTGTGTTTTCACGAATATCAAAACTTTCAAGAACTCCAGGTTTAACCTCAGAGACCCCCAAACCAGAAGATGCCATGTCAGAAACTGGGGGTTCAACTTCAGTAAAAACCAATGGCACCTCTCACTTACCATCTAGTTTACGACCTACAACTCCTAAGCCACTTGCAGGAACCAGGGCATTGTCGACATCTTCATCTAGTGTTAACAAGGCTGGAGTGTCCTCAACTCCTGCCACCAAAAAGCCGGGACTGAAAATTGGTGATAGAGTTTTAGTGAGTGGGACGAAAACAGGGACCCTGAGATACATTGGGGCAACAGACTTCGCTAAAGGTGACTGGGCAGGAGTAGAACTGGACGAAAAACAAGGAAAAAATGATGGAGCAGTGTCCGGGAAAAGGTTTGAAGATAAAAAAGAAGTTCATTTTCTGTTAACTTTTTAGGATAGCTTAGATATTTTCTCTCTCTCACAAAAATTTTATTTTCAAACAATTTGGTTTTTAGATGGTTCAATCAGATTATCTTTCATAGTGCATCCTTGCTCCTCAGACAGTCATTTTTTTTTTACTTATGAAATGGTACATTTTTGATTTTGAATGCCTGCATTTTTTACAGATACTTTGAATGTCGTCCTATGTTTGGATTATTTGCCCCAGTCCACAAGATCACACGCCTGACATCAGGTAATGTCACCTCCAGTATGTCTGCCTCAACGCCTAGTCCTCAGTCTCGCTCCCTGATGAACACCAGTCTGCGGATGTCAAGAGAACGCAGTGGCAGTCAGGATTCCGTTAGTTCTATCAGCTCGACGGCATCCAGCGTGTCCCGCAGTCGGGTAAGGCTGGGTGTCAACTCCCTCAGCAGCAACCAGGTACATGCAGCTATACTGATGCTCTCAAAAGTCTTTCTCCATGCTTTCATTTAGCTCTTACAGGTTATTCCAAAAATAAAGTCACTTTTGCACAAGTTTTCTACATGCAATTTTACTGTAAAGTTTTAAAGTTTCATTTAAACAAATTTTATTTGAAGAACTTTTTGTGTTCTTTTTATGTATAACAACCAAGGTCAGCCTCACGGTTCACATTTTCCTCACACCAGCACTCCATTTTTTGCTTAATTCATTTCCATTAGTTTGTCAAAGTTCTTGTAAATTCATTTGACCTCAAAATATCATATGGAAGATTTCTAAAGATAAAAATATACAAAATAGGAGAGAATTATTTTGAATATTTGATAATTGAAGAGCATACTTGTTTTGATTCAAGAACAGGGTAGGTTAAAGGCCCAAAAATTTTGTTAAGTATTATTTTAAAAAAGTGGAAATTTGGTAAATTGATCTTTTTCCTCAACTTCACAGAGGGGCTAAATTTGTTCCCTATAACGCCTTGGTTCGTTCTTCACTGGGAAAAATCCTAATAGACTTTTGTTTGAACTTAACATTGATGGCTTTTTGTATGACTGATTTTATGTGAAACCTCAGTAATGGGTTTGATTTATAAATTTGTAAGTATAAATTTGAATGATGAACACAACATGTACTCCTATTTGTGAATTACTTGAACTTTGACAAAATCAAGATTCATTTCATAATCATCATTCTTTCAAAAACATATAATTTGATTTCATGACAAATTCAAATTAGATAACAAGTGGAGTGTTTTGTGGAATTCCAAAATCAAATGTCATTAGATTCATAGGGGCTGAATTGAACACAATTTTTCCTACTGAAATTGATTAATTATAATAATAATAATTATCTATTATGCAGCTTTGAAACTGAATGAAATATATTATAGGCTTCATATTAACTCTCCATGTAGACCTAACTTTGTCTTGCATGTTTTAACTGTTGTGTTCAATTCTTCATTTCATTCTTATCCATAATAGTCTTAGGGATTTAGTTTGCATGAAGTTTAGCATATTTATGTTATATCTATGGTAGGTTACTTCAAAAGTGTCCAATAGCACTATCATTGCAAACACTGTACTATCCAGGAGAATTATTGCTCAGTAGCCTATTGGGCTTGCCTGGCAGTTGAAAGCTTAGGTTACTGGTTCAAAATCCCAATGTCTCCTCATGATTTTCTGAGCTGAATCAAGTACTTTTTACATTAATGCTTGTCTGTTGTCAAAATAAGTTGAAGAATACCATTTGAAGGAAATTTCAAGTCAAAACTAGGTGACTGTAAATGTCTTCCTTTATAATATTACTAGAGGGAATATTTCAGAACAAGAAACAACCTTCTATATGTGCTCATGTTTGATAACTCTGATATTTTCAGTTGAATCTCTTGCATAAAAAGGTTTGTTAGTCCTTTATTGCACACATTTTGGTCACTGGATGATGTGCCCAAGTTTTGGGGGTTTCATTTCTTCAAAAGTGAACTAAAATAAAAGAATAAAACTAATAATTTCCAATTAATATTATTTTTTAATAATTTCTAATTAATATTCATGATTTTTATTTTTGTTCGTTGTGTGGGTCCTGATGCTGACCTTGATTTAGTATTGTTTTTCACGTATTGTGTGTTTATATGATAAAATAATTAATTTCTGTGCTGAATTTGCACTCTTTAAAAATAAATTGAAAATTGGTTTGCATTGGTAAGCTGCATGCGCTGTTGCCTGACCTTTTGTTATTTTCAGCTACTTTCACTTTTGAACACTTTTTTCTTCTTCCTCTTTCTTAAAATCTCCATAGTAAAAAGAGCTATTTTCTGAGAATGTTTATTTCCACATTTGGATTAGAACATATATAATATATTCTATTCTCTTTATACAATTCTATTTATACAATTTTACATACATGTATATAAAATTGTATAAATAGAATTGCCAACCAGTGTGTCCTGTCATAATGAACTTTTGTTAATGTTGTGTATAGAAATAGAAATAAAAACTTTCCTTTCTACAAAACTAAGAAGTATGCTGTATTGTATTGATGCAAAAGTAATCTCCTCTATTTGGAATGTCTTTTGTAATGTTTCTCTATTAAGGATGAATATTACTGTTTCTGATGTCAATTTCCTAAGCATGTTACATGCCTTGAGCATTTCTTTTTGTGCATAATTGTGCACTATTTGCAAGTACTTTTTCATTGTTATGAAGCAGATGCAAGTTTTAGTTTTCATTTTGCGATAAAAGCGTGATTTTATTTGATACAGCTACCCTTACTCAAGGCTCGTAAACAACAGTTATCACCGGTAAAAAAAAGTTTTTGTTCCATTACTGAAGCTATTGGCAAGCATTTTCTTTGGAGATATGCATGCATTTCTTTTGGCATCTGTCAAAGGACTTAGTTCATATGCAAAATTTGGCTCATAGCTCTGATGGTGGCCAGCATTTTACAGCCCTAATAATCAGAAAAGGGTACTTCATGTAGAAATTACCCAGTAATTCAGAAAGCAATCACTTATTTTGAAGTAGATGTAGACCTATTTCACTATTTCATAATAAATTGTCAGAAGATGAAATATAGTTAAGGGGTATAAAATGCAGTGTAAAATATTATGGTTAAATATATATTTTGTAACTTTTACTTAAAAAAGAAATACATATGCACTAACATAAATTACACAGAAAATATGAATTTCACAGAAAAAAAGATGTAATGCTTATAACACTATATTACTTGGAAAAAGAACCCCACCCCAAACCCAAATTGTATGACAATTGTCCCACAAGGTGAGTTAATCTGGTGGATCTATAAAGGACTAGATACTTTCCTGTACAGTTTTGGCCTGACATTAGATCTAACTTGCTATTTGTCAAAGCTTTCTTCTGCTTTTATAATGCTGTGTATGCTTGTAATTTATTGCAGCAGCATAATACTGTTAATTTCCAATTTGAGCTCCGACATATATATATATATAATCTATCTGTTCTGTATAAATTTCCTCTTTGGAAGAAAAAGTACACAATTTTTTTTAGAAATACCTTCTCAGAGGGTGACTGCTCATAAAGTTTTATCATGATTGGGGGGGGGGGGGATGAATTACAAAGGATTTTAAATTTCTAGCAGATTTAATGAATATTGATGCAAATGCTTTAATTGGATTTTTTATTTGGGGGAAATTGATTTTTTAAATTGGTTAATTGTATTGAGCAGTCTCTTCTCCTAATACATTGTACATTTACAGAAAAAACCTTGATTACCTGCCCCTGTTCCTGCTGCATGCCTTTTATACTCAGCTTGGTATGCATGCAGCCAATGCATGTGTTTTTTAGTTTCTTATATTTTAATCCATTTATAGTTAAACTTAATTAGATTGTATATATAACATTTAATTAAAGGTCATATAAGCACAATGGTGTGGGAAAAGAAATTGAAAAGTACCATACTTGTCTAATCAAGTCTTAGATATAATGCATTGCAGTAGCTCATAATGTGTATACTTTTATAGTAAAGTACAGGATCACTGTATATTACAATCATATTTTTATGCTTATATGATGATTTATATACATGTATATGCTAATGACACAATAACAAAGAGGAGATGCAGACATGCTGAGAATTAAAGTACATCTAATTGGTGCTCTGTTTATCTAAGTCCTATATGTTCTGGAGTCATTTATGCACAGTATGTGTGTTTACATAGGTATTATGCTGAGATGAAGATTATCCAGGAGACATTCTTATGATTATGAATTACCTATTCAAATGTGATAATATATAGATTTGGCATATTAAAAGTCAAAAGGCTTAACACTGTATGAAATTGGATAACATTAACAAGAACTTAAGGAGCTGTCTGACATCAACTCTTAATTTAGCCTAATAGTGTTGTGTAAAATTTCATATTTATTGTACGTGTGATCTAATGATACTAATAGACTTATAAGCAAGGGGGATAATCTTTGGTGTACCATTAACATACAGGCCAAAACCAGCCAACGACCTAGTTCTCTAAACCTGACTGCCACCACCCAGGCTCTCCAGGTGAGTCTACCTGATTACCTGATTTATTTATACCCCCACTTTACAAAATACCAAATAAAAAAAATCAATTTATCCCCTCCTCTCATAAGATTTAAATTTAAAAAAAAATCAATTTATCCCCTCCTAAGATTTATCTTCACATTCTTGGGTTAGTTTTCTCTTCTTTTATCAGTTTAAAAGTAAAATTATAAATTTTATGGTGGTTGATGTTTGTATTCCATATTTTGAATAGGAAGGTACAAGAAAATGGTGATTTATTATCAGTGAATGAAAAAAAAATATAAGGATAAATTTCTGTGTATAGAGGAAAAGCTAATGAACTCCTATTTCATGCAGGGTTGCAGTTACACTGTATTGTCAACTTAGTAGAAAAAAAGAATCAATAGTTTCAAGAAGACATGGACAAAAATTTGAGAGCATTAATTATTGTGAATGTAATGCATAAGTTGATGTATAGGCATTTATTTTTTTATTATGATAATATTTTGAAATGGACTACTTGAGACTTTTTATATGTAATGGGGTTTTATAACAGAAACTTATCTGATTAACTTTTAAAAATTCCACTTTAACAAAATTTTCTGGTAAAGGGAACTTCACTTCTTCCATATAACTTTCTCTTGGGATTCGGTATATTTTAACACAAATTATTTCATTTTGGTAATATGATTATTGTTTTTTTTTTTTTTTTTTTTTTTTTTTTTACCTTGATCTCATATATAATGTGTATTCCACAGTTTTTAATTGCTTTGTTTGAAGTGATTTTGTAATTAACACAGCTTCTTTTCCTCTTGCACGCCTGTTTCTAGAAAGCACTGAAGGAAAAAGAGGAGCACATAGAACAGCTGTTAAAAGAACGTGACCTCGAGAGGGCGGAGGTGGCCCGGGCAGCCGCGCAAGTCGACGAGGTGCTCCCTCTTAAATAATCTCCATCATACTGCTTCACAATGCTGGCAGTGTAAAATTAATGTTAGACTGTTTTATTAAGGTTACATATGGAAACCAGAATTATAAAAATAGATGTAGAAAGATGCATTGTACATTTTGTGTTCTCTCATTGCTCCAAATATTTTCATACAGAACTCCATACCATAAAAAACATTGGTTTATATCACAAAATGATATTGTAGCATTGCCTTGAATCATAAAAGTTACCTGACATGTACCTGTGAATAGAGTTGATTGACATAAGATAGCGCTCACAGATGTTATACAAAGATCATATTCTTGACCCAGAGATTTTTTTTTCTAGGCTGAAGGACAACTGGCCAGTATGCGGAGCGAGCAGGATCGGTTCCGTGAGAACACAGAGGAGGTTGTCGAAAGGCTGAGGACAAAAGTGGAGGAGCTAGAGAAGGAGAGAAATGACCTCAACTGTAAATTGGAGGATGAACGAAGGTCAGATGTTGTCCTCAAAGAAACTGTAACAATTTATTGTGATTCAATCAAGCAGGACTTATTGTGGAAATATCATGTAAATGTATTATGGATGAAAAAATTTGTTTATGTAAAAAAAAATTGCTATAATGGTAGTTTCATACTTTAATTGATGCCTAATTTGGTGGTCAAACTTGAAAGCATTTTCTGTTCAATCTGTCTTTTAACATGCAGGAAAGTTGAAGATCTTCAATTTCAAATTGAGGAGGAAGCTATATCAAAGGATGATTTAGAGGTGAGGTGTTATTTTCATGTTATAAAAATGATATATAAATCGGTGTAAATTCTTACTATTCAGGAGAAGAATTTTTGTTGTGGCCTCGATAATCAATAGGTTGTGTACTCTATTCCAGTCACGAACAGAAGTAGATGAAGAAAAATTAAGAAGTATAGAAAAAGAGATGAAGAAAGAAAAAGAAAGGGCTGATAGGAATGAACAAGAATTTTTTACACTAAAGGTACTAAGCTTACATTTCTTTGACAGTGCAATCAGCTTTGAAATGTTTAAGCTTTTTTTACTTATTGGTAGGAGGATGCTAAAAAAGGTATTGAACTAATTATTTTGTTAAAAATTAAAAAAAGAAAAAAAAAAGAAATAATTCTACTCTTAGGCTATGCTTAAAGACCAGACAGATCGACTGACATCCACAGAAGAGATGAATATGTCTTACCTTGATCAGATAGAGGAGCTCACCCACAAACTCTCGCAAGCCGAATCCAAAGTCAAGAGTTTTGAATCGTCCCGATTAGAGGAGGGAGCCAAGGTGGAGCTTTTAGGGTTTTGCAGTTAATTTTAACCTTCCTCTGATAATGACTGAAGGGTGAAGTCTTGTGTATTTTGTTGTAGGGATACTTCTCTTGTGTGTTTCTGTGAAAAGTTAGGAGTTTTAATGAGAAGTATTGAAACATATACGAAAATTTCTTGGCATCTGTATATATACAAACAATATAGGTTTTGCCAATTTTTTGCAATATACCAAAGAGCAATGAATGATTATTTCTGCAGAGTTTGTTTAATTAAAATATGCATTATGATACTTTTTAAGCCAGCTTGAAATATTTTCTTGAATGCAATTTCAAATACGATTTTTGGAAATTCATTCTCTTACTATATTCTTTTATGTCTTGACTCGGTGCACATGATTTCTTACTGCAATGATACTGAAAATTGAATGTTTTGTCTTCTTCTGCTTTTTTCTTCATCAACTATGCACATTTTCAGGCCAGTCAAGTAAGCATTGAGTTGGTGGAGAAATCTAACCGACTTATGGAACTAGAAGATATTCTCTCTACTCGTGACAAAGAAATTAAAGATCTTCATTCCAAACTGCATGAAGTGGTATGTATGCTGCCTGCGCAGCATAGCAGAAGCATGACCATAGCACAAGTCATTTCCCCATTCTATCAGTGTGTGAAATTCAAGCATTTGTATCATATGCATTTTTCATAGCTTTACAGTAGACATGCAATTTATATCATGTGTGTTTGGTACTATCCCACATTTAAAACTTTTAAGACTACTAGTATTGCTTAAAAATTGATGATTTCTAGATGTTTATTTGATAAAAATAAACATCTCTAGTAAATGACTGTAGTAAATATGGCTGCTAATAATCGCACCTTGAATCAAGCTTAAAATGACACAATTGTGATTTTTACGTACATGCATCTTGATTTTACATTTTTTAATTCTTCATAACATAGAGTAGTAGCTTTAGGAACAACATACTTCACTTTCACATACGTGCAATTCAGATTACAGAATTTTTATTAATAGTGATGTTTCATTTAATAGCTTTAAACTATTTTCCATGGAAATATTTATGCTGAAGAATTCTGCAAATAGCTAATTCACTTTTTTCGAACTTTTAAAAACTTTTTCTGCACAAATTTTCTTTAGAGGATCACGATTCTGAATTGATCTTTTTTCTGTAGAAAATTGGTCTTTGTCGGCTGGAACTGTTGTTTGGTTGCGGTGATTTGTAAATTTATATAAAACTTGTAAGTGAAGGACAGACTACGTCACTCTTTTGCTGTATATCTATAGTTGCACGAGCTTGGCTTGGCTTTTTCTGACATGCATGCAGAATTGGAATGATGGCACTGACATACCAGATTTAGATTGTGGAGTGATTTTTTTTTTTTTTGTGCAGGGGGAAATGATAAATAGGTCGTTATTAGATATTTATAGTATTTTTACTTTTTGTGGTGAAATTTGACCTTTTATGTTTGAAATTGGATTTAGCGTAACTGGTACTATAGATTTTTTATTTTAATTTTTTTTTTTTTCATTTTTGCTTACACATGGTAGATTTTTAAGTTGCGAAACACTTTTTAAAAAACAAGATTTCTGAGTTAGATTTGTATGCTTACTGTATGTTTCCTTTTGAAGGTGCTTTATCTCGAAGCTCAGGTAAACATATCTTGGATGGATCTGATGATCCTTTCTTATCCTACTGAATTCTACCTGTTTTGATCTTATAGACAGAAAGACAAGAATTCAAATTTGCATGCATTTTCCTAGGCCACTGAAAGGCAAAAAAAAAAAAGACTAAAAACTCTGCTGAAAATTTGAAGAAGTCCAAGTGTTATTGACTGATTGAAGTGAAATTGAAAAATTTTGCAGTGCCTTTGTCAGTGTTGTTGTGTTGCAGTGGACAGAAGCCTGATCCTCCCCTGAAAATCACTAATCCCTTGCACATTTAAACAAGAAATGCCACATAGCACTTATTATTCACATTATGACTATATTGTCATAGTTTGTAATATTACCTACCTTCTAATGTATTTATTTCTGTCCAAGTTTACTTCTATGTACCAAATTAGAAAGTGTAAAATTTGAGGAGAATTACATTTAAGTGCACATAGAGTCAGGGACTTTAATTAGTATTCTTAGAAAAAGCATGGCCTGCCACTTTTATTACTCTAACATGTATAGTGCTTTGATGCATTTTGCTTATTTTCATTCTATGAAATGTATTGTCTACATTGAATGAAATGTATGCCACACCTTTCCCAAGTAAAATACTATAACCCCCTGTATTTTGTAATCATATAATGAAACGGTTGTTCTTTCAGTGTAATGGCAGTGTTGGTTTAATATTATATTGACATTAATATTAAGACAGTAGTTTTGAATTGTTTTGAATGTATTTTTGGGTTTATTGGTGATTTTCCAAATATGGGATTACTTTTGGTTGGTTATTTTCTTTTTTATCCCCCACTTGAAAAGTGGGGGTATTTAGTGATGGGGGTGTCTGTACGTACACCCCTCCGTCAGTACATCCTTCTGTACACCTGTTACACATGGGGGTAGCCATCCCTTATCTGTAACTCCTTTTATACAACCAAATAAAATTTAACGGGACTCTCAGAATCTTTATTACAAAATGCTATTGTGCATCTCCTATTTTATGTTTTGATCAGACACACACATGTACATGTATTTGGGGTTTCCCATAGCAAACCATGGACATGCACTTTCTATATTATTGGGAGTACCTATCTCTTATCTGCAACTCTTCTTATACCATCGAATAAGATTAAATGAGACTCATAGAATCTTTTTTATATAGTGCCATTGTGCACCTATCTTACATTTTGATTGGACAGATATTTTGGATTTCCCGTAGCAAAACATGGACAGTGCCATTCTTTCTATAACATTGGGGGTACCCATCTCTTGTCTGCAACTCCTTCTATACCATTGAATAAAATTTAATGAGACTTACAGAATCTTTTATTATTACATAACCCCATTGTGCACCTCCTATGTTATGTTCTGATCAGACAGATATTTGGGATTTTCCTTAGTAAAACATGGACTTTGCCATTATACTCAAATGAGAGTGGGGGCATCATTTTATGAGCTCAGTGCTCACAGTACCTCTAGTTTTATGTGTAATTAATAATTATAAATAGAATACAAATAATTTCAAAGCATGGTAATTGCTAATGTGGCTGTGCTTTTTTTTTTTTTTTTTTTTTTTTTTTGCTGGAGAAGGATTTAATTTAATTTCTCACACTTAACTACACCATGACACATATATTTTCATTTTCTAAAATCATTTGCTATTAATTGACATTGCAGATAGTAATTGTATCCTGTAGAATAACAATCAGTCTGTGTATTAAGAAACTTGACATTTGTTAAAACGTCTGACTGATGTATTCTGTCCTTCTCTTGGAAAGTCTCTAGAAGTCTGATGTGAAAAAATTAAAAATTCACAAGGGTTGCCATACAGATTTGAAATTTTGTTTTGTTTCAGCATGATGAATTAAGTGCCAATCAAGTGAAAAAACAAAAGATGCAAGAAACTATTAATAGTAAGTAAAACTTATCAGGAACTCAGATGGTTTAATCAGTCTTTTGCTGCATACAGTACAAATCTTAGGATATGCATATATATTCCTCCTCAGAACATGTTCATGTCAATTTTTGAGCTATGCCTTTGGTTTCTTTGATTATATTTCAAACTTCATATTCTTCTAAATCAAGGAAGATCAGTTAATTTTTTTTTTTGGAGAGAGAGAGAGAAATTTAGATGTAGACATAAATAAATGAACTAGGAATGGCTCCTACATTTTTTTAATGTAGTTTTTGTGAAGAAAGAAACATAGATGATACCAAATGAATGGTTAGGTCCATTAATGAGAAAAGAATTCATGAATTTTGTTGTTTACTTCTTTTCTGCTGTTTTTTTTTTTCAGATTTAACAAAACAATTATCAGGAAGAGATGACGCTTCCAATCAGCTTAGTTCAGAGTTACAGAACCTGAAATCCCAGCTTAGTGGTATGTAAATTGTTACCAACTGTAAAAAACAAACAAACCAAAAAAAAAAAACAACAACCACCATCAACAAAAATGATTGGTAAAGTATGGTACAATAGTAGTGTTGTATTGTGTTGTACTTATATACTGAAGATTCCATAATATAGGCAAGAAATAAATTATTGCTTAATTTTGTGAGAAGTAGCACTCACGAAATAAAATTACTCCCTTTTATTTTTATGGTGCTGTAATCCATGTAAAATCTCTTGTTCAACCCTCCATTTGCGAATTATTCTTCTCGCAATTTGATGTCTAAGAACCATTTCATGATAATAAGTACTTGCGAAAAAATAAGGAATCTACAGTATGCTTAAGTGAATTTAAAACTCACGGCAAATTGTACACTGAAAAGATTTTAATTATTTTTCTATAGAGTTGCAGAGACAGCTAGATTCTAGTGCATATATACAATAAAGAGATTGTAATTATTTATCTATAGAATTGCAGAGACAGCTAGATTCTAGTGCATATATACAATAAAGAGATTGTAATTATTTTTCTATAGAATTGCAGAGACAGCTAGATTCTAGTGAGGAGAAGAACAACCAAATAACTGAAGAGAAAATAAAACTGGTAAGTAGGAGTGCACTAAAGATTTCATGGGGCTCTGTTCACAGCATTACCATAGTCAGTCCTAGGGCCATATTCCATGTGTGTTCATGAGAATCCTTTACTTTTTTTTTGAAAATTTGTTACAGGTTCATCAGAGTTGATTTAATGTGTTTACTTTTGTTTTTATGCAGCATGGTCATTCAAGTTTATGATATAAAAGAAAGATCAAATATTCCAGGATTTATGGTGTACATTATGTGATTTCAAATGATTGTAATCAAAAGAATATAGAATATGATATATTAATGTATGTAGCTGCTATAAGTATATTAAAGCCATTTTCTGTTGAAAGGAAAAACGGAACAGAGACCCATGCATATTTTTGTGTTTCATCCCAATATTATGTAGATATCAGTGTTATATATATCCTCTCCTAAGCTTTTGTAAAAGTGTGAACTGGTGTGTCATTGTGAGATACTGGCTTCATTGTGGGCAGTCAGTGTGTATATGATTTTTCTTTTTTTATATCGTATCATTTATTTTATATATCCATCAATTATTATTTTCACATTGAGAGGGTTTTGTAATCACCTTGGATATGCTATACATGTTGTATACGCTAGTCATTTTCACAAAGCTGTGTAAATGTTCCATAGAGCCGCTAGTGGAGTAAAATCAAAATCATGGAAGTCAATTTTTTTTTCACTCTCATTCTTTTATAAAATTTCATTTTGATTTCATTTTGATATTTATGTTTTTCTTCCAATCCATGTGCCTTCTGGGTTCCTAGATTTGATTGCTTGTCATTTATTTTGTTGTATTCTTGTAAATCTAATTTAAAATATCCCTTTTGTAGTCACTAGATAGTTAATGGCAATTTTTGTAGTGAATTGCTTCAATTCATCAAGCACAAAAACTTCACACAAAAAGCACATAAAAGTAGTATATGTACTAGTACATTGCTAGTGATATTTTTAGAATTGGTGTAATGAGTATTAGCTCAGAGTTTTGTTTCTAAATCATAGTGTAGTGTACATGTATTTAAGTTATTCATGTAATTTAAAAATACAATATTCTATATCTGCACAATCATGTATCATCGTGTAATCTTAGAAACCAAAAATTTAATTCAGGAAATCCTTGGTTATCATGCAAGAACTTAAGTAGATGTAGAATCAGTTGGCACATGGAGTTGAAGACAGTTTGAAATTTAAATTAATTTTATAAATTGGTTAACAATTAGTTAGTTTGATTTTTTTTTTCTTTCTTGCCTCCCTTTATGTATCAGGAGCACCAAATGAGTGAAATGATGAAAAACTCGGGAGATAGCTCAAACAGGCTATCTATGCTCAACGAACAAGTACAGGAGAAAAATAGGTCAGTCTTTATTTAACGCTTTATAGTTGGATGGCTTTACATGAATTTGCTTTCATATATATTGGCTGCACAGAGTTACTTTTCCCCCCTTACTAACAAATAACACTTCTGACCTTTTATCTGTAAAAGGTTTGTAGACTAATCCTTTAGTTTTCCTAGCAGTCTTTACCTCGTCTTTGAGTACTACATAAATTCTAAATGCCTCTTTGCAGAATTTCTGAGGGATATAGATATTACCTGACTTTGATCACCTTGTTTGTGCTGGCATCTTAAGTTTGTAACAGCAGTGTGGGCATAATACAAGAAGGACCATTTATTCATTCACCTTTTAGTTTACACTTGACCTTACAGTTTTTTTTCTTGAGATCTTTTGTCAATAGAGGAAAAAAAACATACTGATTGGGGGAGGGGTTTAAAAGACAAGGTTAAAGATGAAATTGTAAAAGAGAATGAAATAAAATCTAGTATATCTTAAGTAATTTAATAAGTGCAAGTGAGATGCAACCTGATGCAATACAAGGACTTAGAGATCAAAGAATTAATGGTGTTGTAGGTAGTGTTTTCTTATTACACTAAACATATGAGAAATGGTACCCTTTGAAAGATGGTATACATTGCTTGTGTTTTGAAGAGAAAGCATTTTGATGCCATGACTGATACAATATGGAAAGTAACATTGTAGACAATGCCTAGCAGGAAGCAGAAGTGTTTAATATTTTTTTCATAATTTAATTTTGATGTGTTCACATTTAAAGTTTTTGGTATCATTGATTTAATTTTGGTTAAATGATAATGATTTATGAAATTTCTGAGCATAAAAAAAAGTTTGCTTTTGAGTCATTTCATTGCTAGATCATTGATTCAGAGCTTTTAACCACTGGGTGTTAAGAACATATTCTTTTTCACATTTCTGTTTTAATGGCTTAGGTTTAAATCTGATGTACAAATAATTACTGCCAAATTCATTTCACATTTCTTCACTGCTGTTAGATTGACATTTCAGTTATTTTCTGAATTAATAAAAAAAAAAAATTAAAAAAAGATTAACATGCATCTTGATTTAGGTATAAGAATTGTATGCATGAAGGAAAAATGCAACTGTATTATACAATGTATATATATTCTGTAAACACATATTTTTCCACAGGGTAATAATTCCATGGAATCACAATTTCTGTTCAATCCACAGTTAGAAAATTATGTGGATTTCTTTGATTGCCATTATATACCTTAATTGTACATGTATTTTTAAGAACATGGGACAAATTTCCGCCAAAAAAAAGGGGGGGGGGGGGGGACTGTGCACATAGCATCATTTAAATGCCATGTTGGAAAAAGTGCTTCTACAGTATCTGGGACAAAGCTAAAATATACTCAAATTATGCATCTATTACAGTTATTTTTGACACAGGAAAGAAAAAATGAAAACTTAAAAAATTAGTCTTTGAAAAAGATTTTTTAACCCAAATTTTAATTTTTGTATGTCATTGAACTTATTTTCAGAAAAATCCAGGATCTACAAGCCGCCTTGTCAAATTCTACTCAACAATTGGGAAGACTTAATGATGAAATCGAAAATCTCAAAGGGGAAACAATTAGGGAACGGGAAAATATTATTGCTAGATATGAAGAATCAACTAAAACTCAGAATGGACAGATTGAGGAATTAGTAAGTCAATAAAAATGATATTTTAGATTTTGCATTTGTGATGCTTTTGAAGATGTTGAAACCTTTTTTTTAAAAAATCAATTCTCCCAGAATCGCATCATTGAAGTTTAATTGCAGGTAAGACTTAATACAAGAAAAAGCATATGGCTCAGATGATTGTGATATGAGGCTATTTGTAACTTGTATGGATACATGCAGTCCAGTATTGAATATTATATAATCTTAACTAGAAAAGATTGTGAATATTTTTGGGGGTATTAAACCTGAATATTGGTAATCGTACTGAAAAATATTGTAATGTGAATAATGTAGTAATCATTTCATGATATGCTTTGTATAGCAGTATATCTGCATCGTCAGAGTCCTTATAAACAGTACAATGTAGTTATATTAAAGTGAAATGATTGATGGGTTTGTTTTTTTTTCAACAGCAAAGGGAATTAACAAAAGCAAAGACAAAGATGCAGAAGATGACAGAAGACCACAAAAAAGACAATGAAGACGCACTATCACGTAAAATCAAAGAGATAGAGGAACTCAAGAAACAGCTTCAGGAGAGTATAGAAGAACAGGAAAGACAGGCTGTACAAACACAGGCCCACAAACAGGTGCTGGAGAAAATCACAATGGAGAAGGAGGCTCTACAGGTGAGAGGGGGGTTGTCTAGGGGACAGGGTCATTCTTTTGTGTACTCAGTTCTAGAACTGAAGAGGTAAATTTGTTAAGTATAACTTAGTGTTAGATTAAGTTAGGAGATTATTTATCATAGAGTTCTGGATGTTATGTGAAGGTTAATTTAGGGTAACATTAGGACAGGAGTTTGTGTCAAAGGTGACTTAGGGTCACACAGGAGTAAGAGTATAAAATTGAGACTCTGTTAATGGTAACTAAAAGTCTTGTAGATCAAAGGTTGTGTTCTTGGTAACTTAGACTAAGAGTAATTCTTGGTCAGGCTGTGTAAGGGGTACAGTATTAGTTAATGGTAATTTAGGAGAGGCTATAAGTGAGGGTTTGGTAATGCATGTAATTACTTGGAAGCATTTCTAAGTCGGGGGTGGGCTGGGGTGTTAAGGGTAACTTTTAATCGAGTTTGATTGGGGTCAGTTTATGATCTACTACTGAAAAGATCTATAGATATAACGTTATTAAAAGTTTAAGTAAGTTTTTAAATTCAACTGAGTTTGATACTGAATATTATTATCAATCTTCAAATGAAAGTTTTGCTTTGCTGTCCAAGCAGTCAAGAAAAATCTGTACCTGTGTTTTGCTTTTACAAATCTCATTTCAGCATCATAGATACGCATAAGGCACATCATTTGTTTCATTTTTAATCATTGAAATCCTGCAAACATTGTGTCACATTAATCACACAATCATTATTGCTTTTCCACAGCATCTTAGAACATGGAAGGTAGGTGGACATAATGTCCCGAGTGGTCACTCAGTGTCAGACATCGCACTGGACATCTTTCTTCTGCAACTTTTAACCAAAAGTCTTCATATCAAAAAATTCTGGAAAAACATGAATTAAAAAAATGGAATTGTTGGTATAATTTTATTTATTGGGATATTAATTTAAATTTTGATATGCAGAAGAAAGGTCAACTCTGTTTGAGAGAAGTCCAATTTTCTAATCTGTGTGTGTTCATGTCAGCATCTCATCCAAACATCTGGTAATTCTGTATCTTTTATTCCACATTCACCACAATTACCAACCCTTTTCTTTAAAGCATAACTCCCAAAATTATTATACCATTAAATAATATTGTAACTATTAAGCAACTGGTGGTACATATAAAGTAAAATTTAGGTTTTAGAAATCCTTGTTCATAAGCAAAAAGTTGAAATTATTATTCAATTACACTGAAATACTTGTTAATGATCATATGCGAAGACTGTGATGAGTCCATTTATGGAAATCTTACAAAATTAGAGCTATACACCTCTGACTCTTTAGACACCCCTCTCCAGTTCTTTTAGTTGAGAAATATGCAGCTTTAGTTTTAAAATCACAAAAAACTATGTGCACATTTCTTTTAAATTCAGAACATGTATTATTTTGAGTTTATCATGATTTCTACAATATGTGTGACTCCTTAAGTTCTTTTTTATGTAAATGTATATATTTCTGTGGCTGACATTTGATTTTTGTAGAATAGACTGGTGGTCTCATTTTGTAGTTTTGTATTTTTTCAATTTTTTTTTTTTTAATTTCTGTTAATATTAATTAAGTTTATAGAAGGACCTATGTAACTTTGGTTGATTGGTAATGGTATCTTTATATATTTAGTAGAAAAAAAATTTGGTATTAAGTAAATTCCTTGGTCCCAAATCACAGAAAAGCAATTTTAAAGGAGAATTAATGTGTTATATTTAATGCTTAATTTTAAATTTACTTGAATTTAGTCATATTGCATAATTTGATCATAAATCATTTACATGTATATTATCCTTATATTTCCCATTCACTTACCAGTATTAGATTTACAACATTAAGCCAATATCTTTAAATAGCACCCATTGAATCATCTAATACTGCACACATGTGATTGGATATGATATCCCAACCCAGAATTAAATCAGATCAAAGCTCAAATGTAATAAACACACTAGAATCATTATATTGAAACATATTTCAGTAAAATAATTAATCAAAACATAACTGACCAAATCCATTATTACAAAATGATCAAATAAAGATGAAGTAGAATTAGATCGCTTGAATTAAAATTGGATTACATTGCTTCTAATCCTAACTCATCCATATTTCAAAAAAAAAAAAAAAGAACAGTAAAATGAGAAAGTAAGATAGTTTTGATATTAGAATATTCATTCATTTCTCATTTTTATTCATCATTCATAGTGGTTGATTTAAAGAAAAATGTTTGAAACCAACTAAGTATTTTCCAAAATTTGAATTGTAGTTTGAAAAAGAGAAGACTGAAAAGCAAGTTAAGCGGTTAGAATCAGAGCGAGATACTGCAAACACGGAGCTAATACAGGCCAGAGTGGAGGTAGCTAAGGCTCAGTCCGAGAGGGAAAAGTTCACAGCTGACCTTAATGCTTTGGAGGAAAAACTGCTCGACTTGGGAGGGGAAATGGAAAAAGCTCAGAAAGCCAAAAATCAGGTAAACCCTATTTAAATCTGGCAGGGGTGTAACAGATGTAAGGCAATATAAATTTAAAATTTAGATTCTCATCCTAATTTGCTAAAAAATTGGGGCGGGTGGGCGGATTTTATTTTTTATTTTTTATAATTGAAAGTATCAACAAAACATTAGTACACGTAAATTTAACATATGTTAATGCCAATATGAATAGATTTTATTGTTTTCATATTCTTTTAAATATCTACAGAAGATTCTTATTATAGAAAATTAAAAATATATATAACGTTAGTTTTATTAACAAATTATCAAGTACACGGATACGGCACACGCCAAACAAAATGAGGTGCTGATCCTAATAAATTGCATATGCATGTTTTCTCATCGGCCTTTTCCCAGATACCTTATAGTTTTACCAACAACTCCTGTTCTGTATGATATACAGATATCACAGATTTACACTGTCCTGATACATTCAATCGTTCTTGAGACGTAACATGTTCGACATTAAAATATATCATATTTGCAAAACAGGGTTGTGTAAATCTGTAAAATTTTCTACTGAAAAGCCTGGCCTGAACAGTTTTAAGATTTAACATTTCCTTAGCACTATTATTCTCTAAAGTCTTTGGACGATGTTTTATTTTTTTAATGCAAAATCACATACAACTGGAGATCGTTATTTAAAACTTGACCATGTGTATTTTCGTCGTCTGTTTTTACTTGGTTAAAATCTTTTTAAAAACTTGCCCATGCCAGTGATGGTATCTAGATGTGTTTATATGTTATTTTTGCTTTTCTGCCTTCTCTTTACTGACAAATTATCTTTTCCTTACATATTTAAACTGCTTTTATTGCCGATTTTTCTCCATTCTTCACATAGTTTTTTGCTATAAATAGCGCCACGCGACTTTTAATACAGACGGGAGATAACTCTTAAATTTTGACCCAGATTCTTGCTGAATAAAAATTACATGAAAATAATACATTTGGCACCCAAAAAGCAAAATAAAAAACAACGGGGCGGGGCACTTTGAGAGAGGCGGGCGGGGATGAGAATCTAAAGATTAATTTTACCTGGCCTAATGTGATCATTTAGTATTCACTGTGTGATCCAAAGGCAAAACTCCTTCAACATATCCCCCTGTTTTGATGCATTGATGTTTGAAGAAACTAAAATTCATCCATTCATACATGTATATTTATCAGAAGTGAGCCTTATGAAAGTTTAAATTGAAAATGATTTTTTTGAATCTTTAAAATCACATTGTTGATTTGCTTGAAGTGTTTTCACTTCCTCATGAATTACAATACTCTTGTATATAAACATGTATAATATGTAATTTCTGTATTTACTGAAGCTTAGATTTTGTTTTGTAGATTCAGAAAGAACTGGATGTAATTACAGAGGAGAAGGCAAAAGTATTGGAAGAAAAAGGCCGATTGCAGGATGATGCCATTACAACAAAAGCATCTCTACAACAGAAGGACATGCATATTGAAGAGCTTCAAAAGGAGGTAATTTTGTACTCATAGAAACAAAGTGATGTCTCTGTAATTTTGGTAAAAAAATGAAAGTTTTTAATCATTGCCTTTGTTTTTCTCAGAATGAACGATTGAAAGGGGAGGTAAATGATCAGCAGGAGGCGTTAGCTCAGGTGTCACAGAACAAGTCTATGAGTTCTGACTTCCAACAGCGACTGTAAGTACTGCCTAAGATACTGTATGTGTACTTAAAAAAGCAGGCTTCATATTTTAGCGGCTTTGGCGCAGTCAATGATGTGCTAATTTATGAATACCACTAAGAAATCATTTATATATACAATACACAGCACGTACATGTGTAGCGCTAATTCATGATTACGCCAACTCCTCCAAACCCAGTGATTGTGCTAAATTTTGAATATGCCAATTTTTGTACATGTACAGTAATACTTGAAATATATCAAATATAGCTGGGTAACTTGAGTAGAACTGATACTTGACTTCTTCTGCTAATACATGTATACGTATGTATGTTGCAAGCTAAGAGCACTTGCATTTTCTTGCATTATGTACATTTATATCTTAATGGTGGCAAATGTATATTCTCCTCCCCCCGGCCACCTCACCTTTCCACCCAAAATAAATTCATACATGCCACATTTACTTACAGTATATACAGTGTAACATACAGTATTTCTGATTGAGTATGAATATTCATGAAGTAATATCCTTGTCTAGGGTGAATTGACCATGTCTAAATACTTAGTAGAATTCTTCAAGGAAAATGACTAATTTATGTAAAAGGGGCACTTCGTTGATAAATTGTGTGATATTCATTTATTATAGAGAGGGAAGTCAGAAGGCCTTGTCAGATCTACAGAAGAACTACAGAGAGTTAGAGGCTGAGAGAGATTCCATGAAGGCCCAACTAACCTTTGCCAACCTGGTGACTGAGGAACGAACTCGGGTGGGTAAAAACTAGAAAATAAAATTTCAGAAACATACTTTAGTATTCAATTTATAGACATGACTGAAACGATTGTTTATTTACTGTGTAGCTTACAAGATTTTGGTTTTTTTTTTCATTCAATAACAAGAGTATTTCATGCTATCTAAAATTCAATTACCATAAAATCATATTTTCATGGGGTTAATTTTTGTGGTTTAAAGGAAAAATATTGGTTCATTGGGGTTTAATTTCATGGATGAAGAATTATACGAAATTTTACATTGCGTAGTGGACCTAAATTTGCGGGTCTCTTCTTACCTCGAAAACAACAAATTAAACTCCCACAAAAATTGGTGATTTCATGGTAGTTATGATCTCTTCCATTTCTTAATGATAAATTTTAGTAAAGTCAGTTTGAACTTATAGCTGAGAAAGACTTGTTTAAGTAAAGGCTTTTAGTCCCTTTGGTCATGACAATTATTGACCTATGTATCTGTGAATCAGTCCTTTGTACATCTTTTATTGAATATAGTACAGGTGACTCTCGATGGCTCGAACTCCGATCTCTCGAAGTTCTCAATCTCTCGAAGTGAACCTACGGTCCCGTTTTTTTCCCTCTATATAACTAAGCAAATTTACTTCCGATCTCGAGAACTTCCAATCTCTCGAAGTTCTCTATCTCTCGAACCAAGACCTGGGTCCCGTTACACATATTTCATTGTTTTTTACTCTCTATCTCTCGAAGTTTTGATTGCGCGTGTGTACACGCCAATCAAGCGTTAAATTTATGCAGCTTGGACTTACCTGGATAACAGTGAACGCCTGGGGCTGGCGTGGAGATGTTAATTGGGTGTTTACATAGATGACACTATACCTGTGAGCTTCAGAGTGTTGATATAAATTAGTAATTGGTTATAATTGGTAAATTATAAACGAATTGCTTCACAACTTATTTTGACTGGACAGCGAGACGAAAATTTTTAGAAAATAATTTAAGAGGCGTGTCAATAATTTTCCATAGATTATGAAGTTTTATTAGAGTATACATAATCCCAGCATGACAAACATTGCACAAGAAATCCTATCTCTAGAATTAAATACCGATTTAATACGAGAAATATGGTAAAGGACCCGATCAAGCCCGGGGGGTAGCCACACCGACGATTGCTATTCAGGTTTTATGTAATCATGAAATGAGAACAAATTAATATTGAAACTTAAAGAGATCGTTTTATTTATTCAAAATACGATCATTGTTGTTGAAATCAAGTGAATTACCTGTAAAATACGAATGAAAATGTGCAATGATATTATCAACATATACTTCCGGTATTTATATTAGTTGAACAATGATGATCGGAAATGAAAATTCCGGATTTTATTCACTTTCTATCTCTCGAACCCCTCGATCTCTCGAACTTTTCTTACGGTCCCTTGAACTTCGAGAGATCGAGAGTCACCTGTACAAACAACTTAAAAATGTTTCAAGGTAAAGACTTCAACCTTTTTGTAAGCAATTTATTTGGGATGGGAATCAAAAAGATTGAGGGAAATGAAAATGATATGTGTATGTCATTTTAGGGAAAATGTTTATAAGTGTATTTTTATTTGGGATTCTTGATTATGCACTAAATATATTTTGTAGCTCGAAGACCAAAATCAGAAACTTAACAGAGAAGTTGAGGACATGCAAACAAGGTAAAGTGTTATCTCCCTTGATCTAATATTTTCTTGACAAAAAAGAAAAAAAAGGCAATTGGGGGAAAATGTATGCTCAGTAATTCTGAGATCCACATTAACATATCATTGCACATATCATAAATGTACATGTAAATGTGTATTGTTCAAAATGTGATATATATAGCCATAATTTTCATTTTCTCATGAATATTTTATGTCTTTCTTTTTATCATGGCTGTATCTACAATGACAATCTTTTACATGGTAAGGGTTTATATCTCTCAAAAACAGCATCAATTTTGTATTGCATATATTTGGAAGTCCCATGTTTCAAGCAGCATGATTTGACTCTGGTTGTTTATACATGTATATATGTTATGATGCATGGTAGTTTAGTTATTTATGGCCCAATGTCTGTATCACACGCCTACATTAAAGATACATATACGGATGTAAAATAAGTGTCTATTAAATCCCATAATAACATCTAACTCCTGGTCCAAGCTTAATTTCCTCTCATGATCAGGGATAGGGGTGTTTGTACACATTAAGAGGAATTACATGTGTACCAGCATACTGGTCTTGGAAAATGATATCTCTTTAGAAGATCACAGGGTTTTATGTTGGCAAAATAATACTATTAAATCATTTATTTTCATGGTTAGAGGGAAAAATGTGTATTTTGGGGGGATTTAATTTTGTGGTCTCTTCATACTAAATAAAACCCCAATGACAATTAGCAATTTCTCAGTATTTGTAGAACAATCATTTCCATCATTATCCATACAATAAAAGAAGCCTTAAAAACAAAATATCTGAATGTAGATTATCTGGATTGATATCAATACTCAGCACCTCAATTTATATGTATCAGGATTAGAAATAAGTGAAAAATACATATAGACACGTATACAGTACAGTAACTGAATGCTTTGAATGTATCTGGTCATGCTACTAAACACTACACTATGTACATGTATGATATGCACCTCACCATTAAGTATGGTAACTGCAACGAAGACTAAAAAGAATGAAACTTCCCCTATCTATACATGAATGTACTGTACATTCTATCATAAACAGGTTTATAATTTCTTTTTTGTATAGTTTGCTATGGAGAAATATTTCTCAGTGTATATGTGGACTGTATTTCTTTTCCTTTTGTAGAAGAGTAACCTCTGATGTTCTTTTTTTCAAAAACTTTTTTATATAATTTACCTGTGAATGTTGTAAAAATGATGTTAGATTGGAGTGTGATATAAGATTTCATATTGTAATTTCAGACAAGTTATATGCATGCAATTCATCGTTTGATAAAGTTTGTTTACTTATGATTTTTTTTATTATCACTCAGAATAATCTCATAATATAACATTCTCAAAATGACAAGGAGATAGAAATGAAATTTTTAAAGGAAACTTGGGCATTGCATCCCTAACCCTCCAGTGCTAAAAAGATCCATAATTTACTAGATGCTGATTTAGATGCTAAATATATTATGTTGACTAGCTTAGGGATTGTGTTTCTTTGGCCAAGTTAGTTTTCAACTGTCAGACGTGTTTTCTTTATCAAAATTAAAAAAAAAAAAATTTTAACAATTTGGAAAACTGAGCGTTTTTCAAATGACCAGTAGGTCCTTGAAATATACAAGTTACCCCAGCAACTAGAGAATGTAGACTATAAATAGACTTTATTTACAAATACTAGTAGTAAATAGAGATGTATTACATATAGGTTCATTATATTATTTGTCTGATATTTTGTAAATGCTCTTTATGATAGAGTATTTGCTTTGTCTGCAGACACAGTCAAGAGTTGGACGAGCTACAGAACGCCAACACGTCTCTACAGAGTCAGCTGGACAACACAACACAACAACTACAACAGAGAGCTCAGGACCTCGAGAGACAGAAGAAACAGGTATACACTGACACAGCACAATGTCTAGGGAGTGGTCATGTGGCAGATATCATTAACTTATGAACTAGAGCAAAGCTTTCATTACCCCCCACCCCCCCATGATTATGGAAAAATTAGGCTGTTCAAAATGTTTCATGTTTTGAGCATGTACTGTGTTAATTTAAACTTACCCTATATATTTATAATCTATTGTTTGTATTGAGACACTGCGATGCATTACCTTATTTTGTAAATATTAATATCGAAAAATATCACGTCGGTCTCTTCTTCCTGCATTATATAAAGGGGATCTCCTTATTTCTTTAGATTTCCAACCTGCAGAATGAGAATTCCTCCTTAGAAGTGTACAGATCAAAGGTCCAGAAAATGGAGACGGAGAAGTCGGAGTTCTTGGAGAAGATCAGTAAGCTGGAGAATTTACTGAAGGAGGCTAAGACCAATGCTTCTAACATGGCCAGTAATGATACCTCAGGTATGGCTAAGGACAGGAAAATAATGTAATGGGGTAAAAAGTTTTAGGTCAAAATGAAAGTGCTTGATAAATTTTGCTTGCTGTTGATGGAGCTAAGATTGACTGTTTACAAGAGATATCCAAGGATCAGAGATATAAAGTTTAGACTCGCATTGAACATACAGTGTTTTCTTGGATGTATCCTTGATATTTCAACTGTCTGAAATATTGAAAGTGCAAGATACTGAAAGTCACTTATACATGTGTAACTTGATATTGTAGTAATTTTAATAAGATTTCTAAATTTAGAACAAAAGTAAACACCGTCCTTGAAACTTTATTGTAGGGAACCCAGCAGTATCTAGGTTAACAGAGGAAAAGGATGCAGCTTTAGGCCAAGTGGACTTCCTAAATTCAGTCATTGTTGATCTACAAAAGAAAAATGAAGAACTGAAGACAAGACTGGAGATAATGGAGTCTGGGGTCGTTACCAATGGAGACGGGGATAGCTCCATGGAATCTGAGTGAGTTGCTTCCCTTGTATAAAAGAACAAATTTAGAAAAAAATTTTAGTGAATAGCTGTTGGTAATAAAGTACTGTTAGGGCCAATTTCTGTATGTATAAAGTACCAGGTATGTCTGTGAAAGTATTTCAACTAATTACTTTTTTCAAGCTGTGTAATGACTATCCATACACTTTGATTTGTACAGTTAATGATTTAAGTGTCAAGCAAAAAAAGTGAATTTAGTTTGTCAAGAAACAAAAGATACACTGTAAGAGAAATTTTTCAACATGGATTTTGGGTTTCAGGTTTCATAATCTTTGAAACATATAAAAGCTCTGGAACATGCATAAGGAAATATCTTTTTTTTTAATATATATGAAATTCATTTAGTGTAAAAAGTACTTTGAAATAGGAAAGGATTTTATTCTTTTAGATATAGAAATATTTGCACAGCTGTATAAGGTTTTGCTAATCTTTTTTTCCAGGGTTCCCAAATCCCGAGCTCCGCCTCGTTTGTTCTGTGATATATGTGATGTCTTTGATCAGCATGATACTGATGACTGCCCACTACAAGCCATGGACTACGAGGATGATGCCCCCTCCCCCACCCATTACCATGGTGACAGAAAAGCTTCCCGTCCTTACTGTGATATATGTGAAGGTTAGTATGCAGTTCATCTATCACAAGTCATGGTTTCATCATCAGTTAACATGCTTGATATTATTCCCAGAAAATGTCAGTTAAACAAAAATAAAGCATGGCATGAATTTAGGGAGAGGATGAAATAGCTTTATTTATAGTGTTTGTCCTAGACCTATTATAGAATTACCATATTATATTATTTTGCATATCTTTTTTTCTGATAATTTGCACACATATACTAATTAAAATTTTCCCTTAAAATGAACTTAATCCTTAAAAACAAAATGGAAATGGAATTATTTTTTTTGGAAAATTTCTCAGTGATTGTATGTGTGTGCAAATGGATGACTGGCTGATTAATGGTAGTGTTCGGGATCAGAGGTGAATGTGATCTTTCTTATTGCAGTGTTTGGCCATTGGACTGATGAATGCGATGATGAGCAGACATTTTGAGAATGGATTGCCAACTCCACTAACACCATTCTGGCAGCTCCATATAAAAACACTTACATGTACACCCTTGCATGATCCACTCCTGTCACTGTTTTGTAGATCCCATCATACAGTGGATATAAAACTATTAAACTGGAAAATATAAATAGATTCACAACACTGAATGTACATCAAGATTTTTGATATTTAGACTATTCATTCCATGCATATTGCAAAGCTGCAGAATTTATTATCTGGATGATCTGTATAAAGGTCGTGTACATTTGTATCAGAGGAATATTAGAGATGATGCAGATTTGCAAAGACTGTAGAGCATTTCGATTTAAATGCACGATCTAGAGAGTCTTATGTACTGAATTGTTGATTGTTTTGTGAAATTGTATGTCACCTATGAATCATGGCACTTATGTTATTGTGTTGAAAAATGAGAGCCTTCGTCTAAAAAAGGAAGAACAAAAACAAGTTGGGGGCTGGTTTAAGATCAGTGCTGAAAAAAAAGTCTTCTTTGTGGGATGTTGATAAAGAAAACTTAGTATGTGATAGTAGTTTATGAAAGTGCTATAGCTGATAGTTAAATACTGATGAGATGCTAATCCTGAATGCTAATATAGATTGTGTAGTGTTAAAAAAATTGAGTTTGTATAGTGCTGAAAAATGAAACAAACACAAATCGTGGGTTATCATTTATGAATGTAGCAATTTCTTTGTCACAAGAATTATTTTTATCCTAGTTTAGGGTCTTCTGTTATCTGCCTGTGGTTGCCCCATAATCAAAATCCAGTTGGGCATTACAAGTGGTTATTGCCTTTGGAGATTCCCTTTGTCATTCTGTTCAAAAAAGAATCATTTTTTAGCTCACCTCGACGAAGTCGAGATGAGCTTATGCTATACCCCCGGCGTCGGCGTCGGCGTCGGTGTCGGCGTCGGCGTTAGCGTCGGCGTCCCAGGTTAAAGTTTTAGGAGCAAGTCCCATTCCCAAGTAACTATAAGCCCTACCTGGACCAAACTTGCATGGATGATGCATCTAGGGATGGACACTACCAAACTTGCTTCGGATGCTGGATCTGACCTAGATTTTCCAGATGAGTGACCAGGTTAAAGTTTTAGGAGCAGGTCCATTCCTTAGTAACTATAAGCCCTACCTGGATCAAACTTGCATTGATGATGCATCTAGGGATGGACACTACCACACTTGCTTCAGATGCTGGATCTGACCTAGATTTTCCGGATGAGTGACCAGGTTAAAGTTTTAGGAGCAGGTCCATTCCCAAGTAACTATAAGCCCTACCTTGACCAAACTTGCATGGATGATGCATCTAGGGATGGACACTACTAAACTTGCTTCGGATGCTGGATCTGACCTAGATTTTCCAGATGAGTGACCAGGTTAAAGTTTTAGGAGCAGGTCCATTCCCAAGTAACTATAAGCCCTACTTTGACCAAACTTGCATGGATGATGCATCTAGGGATGGACACTACCACACTTACTTCGGATGCTGGATCTGACCTAGATTTTCCAGATGAGTGACCAGGTTAAAGTTTTAGGAGCAGGTCCATTCCCAAGTAACTATAAGCCCTACCTGGACCAAACTTGCATGGATGATGCATCTAGGGATGGACACTACCAAACTTGCTTCGGATGCTGGATCTGACCTAGATTTTCCAGATGAGTGACCAGGTGAAAGTTTTAGGAGCAGGTCCATTCCCAAGTATCTATAAGCCCTACCTTGACCAAACTTGCATGGATGATGCATCTAGGGATGGACACTACCAAACTTGCTTCGGATGCTGGATCTGACCTATATTTTCCAGATGAGTGACCAGGTTAAAGTTTTAGGAGCAGGTCCATTCCCAAGTAACTATAAGCCCTACCTTGACCAAACTTGCATGGATGATGCATCTAGGGATGGACATGGCCACACTTACTTCGGATGCTGGATCTGACCTAGATTTTCCGGATGAGTGACCAGGTTAAAGTTTTAGGAGCAGGTCCATTCCCAAGTAACTATAAGCCCTACCTTGACCAAACTTGCATGGATGATGCATCTAGGGATGGACACTACTAAACTTGCTTCGGATGCTGGATCTGACCTAGATTTTCCAGATGAGTGACCAGGTTAAAGTTTTAGGAGCAGGTCCATTCCCAAGTAACTATAAGCCCTACTTTGACCAAACTTGCATGGATGATGCATCTAGGGATGGACACTACCACACTTACTTCGGATGCTGGATCTGACCTAGATTTTCCAGATGAGTGACCAGGTTAAAGTTTTAGGAGCAGGTCCATTCCCAAGTAACTATAAGCCCTACCTGGACCAAACTTGCATGGATGATGCATCTAGGGATGGACACTACCAAACTTGCTCCGGATGCTGGATCTGACCTAGATTTTCCAGATGAGTGACCAGGTGAAAGTTTTAGGAGCAGGTCCATTCCCAAGTATCTATAAGCCCTACCTTGACCAAACTTGCATGGATGATGCATCTAGGGATGGACACTACCAAACTTGCTTCGGATGCTGGATCTGACCTATATTTTCCAGATGAGTGACCAGGTTAAAGTTTTAGGAGCAGGTCCATTCCCAAGTAACTATAAGCCCTACCTTGACCAAACTTGCATGGATGATGCATCTAGGGATGGACACTACCAAACTTGCTTCGGATGCTGGATCTGACCTAGATTTTCCAGATGAGTGACCAGGTTAAAGTTTTAGGAGCAGGTCCATTCCCAAGTTACTATAAACCCTACCCGGACCAAACTTGCATGGATGATGCATCCAGGGATGGACACTACCACACTTGTTCAGATGCTGGATCTGATCTAGATTTTCCACATGTGAGACCAGGTTTAGATTTAGGAGTAGTCTCATTCCCAAGTAACTATAAGCCCTACCTGGACCAAACTTTCATGGATGATGCATCTAGGGATGTACACTAACCAACCTGCTTCGAATGCTGGATCTGACCTAGATTTTCCACATGAGTGAATTTTAGCCATATTTTAACCAAATTAGCATGGATGATGTATCTAGGGATGGACACTTCCAGACTTGCCTTGGATTCTGAATCTGATGTACATTTTCCAGAAGAGTGACCAGGGTAATTTTTTTGGAGTAGCTATATAATATTATGGCCTGTTATGATTTAACTTGCATAGATGGTGCATCTAAGGATGAAAACTTCCAGACTTGCTTTGGATGTTGGAACTGACCAAAATTTTCTTGATTACTAAACAGTTCAAAAGTTTTTTTGAGCAGGTCTATAATTAAATCAAACTTGCATGGATATTGATCTTGGGATGTACCCTAACTAGAAAAAAAATATGATGTGAAATTTGCCTTACATGTAGATAACATTCGTCGAGGTGAGCTTCGTAATCTTTGATTACCTATGTTTATATTAATCAATTGTATTCTAGTTCATAATATGCCAGTAATGATTTTAGCAGTAGTTACAGTGAATTACATGTGCGTGTCAGGGTGAGATGTGGTATAAATTCATGGAGACTAAAGATGTGTGATTTCTGCAGTAGTTGCCAAAAAACAAAACCTACCTGGTATTACTAACTATATTTAAATAATGTTTGATTTGAGTGTGGTTTACCGCTTTTTATGCCCTCCACCTTCCTGCATCCATTTTATCTCAAAGAGGGGGTATGTCTGTTTAACATTTGAACCACAAGTAGTTAAAACATGGGGTGTTTGCCTTCTGTTATAATATTCAATTACTGGGACTGAAATTTTAAATGTAGCTCAACATCTGTTACTTATCAGTATATACTTATGTACTGGTCAGTATAAATAGTGCTTATTTATGGGGTAAGGTGCCACTAATAGGGTCTGATTGAGGAGAAAATGTAGTGTTGGAGAAAGTCTCGAGAGCAACATACAGTTTCTCTTGATGTTAAATAAAGTAATATTTTGTTAAAAGTTTCTTGCATATTTTGTTTTGTAACTTTGGGAAATCTCAGGGATTTAGATAATTTATAATTTATACATACAAGTATGTAAAAATTTTATTTCATTGTAAACTTAGTTCTGAGAAGAAAAAAGATTGGGACAAAATGTCAATACATGTTCAAGAGGGAAGTAGGTTGATTTTTTTTAATGTCTTAGCTTGCATTTTTATGTGTTGGCTTGCCTAAAGCACAATTTATTTTCACTCTGAAGAATTTCTGGTATAAAGCATTCCCTTTAGATAGTGATCTTTTCATTGATAGTGTATGTGGAAATGGACGCTGGCTTATGAATGCTTTTCATCTTTTCATTTTACCATTTAGCCATTACACAGTTTTTGGGTATACATGTAATAAAATGTATAATACTTGTAAATGTTGTAATTTATTATCTGTATTATTGCCAAGCTTATTGTTTAATATATCAAATGCAATATGTTCACTTTTAGGATTTTCTCTAATAAAAAAAAATAAATCAAACGGATGATGATCACTTTCCTTTATCTGGTAATTTTGAGGAGAATTTATGAATTTTAAAAACAAAGCAAATGGAGTTTAGTATTTCTTCATTTTTAATTTTGAGCCTATGTGTTGGTAAGATGTCAGTTATCTGTCTTTCTGTAAACAATTTTTTTTTTCAAAATGCTACCTCATATACAGTTTTGTTCTGATTTCAATAAAATATACTGTACAAGTAGACTTCATCAAAGTACATAATTTTGATGATCTCTTTTTATTTGAATAATATTACCATGGTCACTACTTCCTAAAAAAAAGAAGAAAAAAAAAGATATTTCTGAGAAATACTTTAAAAATATTAATTCTAATAGTTTTTGTTCAATTTCAATGAAACTTGGTACACAAGGATACTACTCTAAGATAATAAATTTATTTATAGGATCGTCATTTCTTTGAATGTGTTTATGGTTACTAAAAATAGAAATTTCTAAGAAATAGTTTCAAAATGATACTTCTCTCACAATTTTGGTTCAATTCAAAACTTGGATCATGAGTAGAATACACTAAGTTACAGAAATCTGTCGATCAGTGTTTGATTTTAACAAGCCATGTTGGTAACTAAAAAGATGAATTCTTTCAAAACACTTATTCTCCTGTACTTTTGTTCCAATTTCAATAAAACTTGGAATACAGATTAACAACATAAAGGTATACTGTGCTGTAACATTATATCAGTTTTTTAATCAAATGTGATGTGTTAATTCTCTGAAAATGCTACTCCACGTCTGTTTTTGGCTGATTTCAATGAAACTTGGCAGTGGCACATCCAGGAACTTCACAAGGGGGGAGGGGGCACATAGAAGGCAGGGGGTCTAGGGCTGCTTTGAAGTCTTCAGTGGGTCCAGGATAAAGCCCTGGTGGGGGCCTGGGGGCTGACAACTTCTTACAAATAAGAGGTGTTTTTTCTTTGATTTTAGGATAATGGACATAATTATATAAGTTCTATATGCAAAAAATTCACACAAGGGGGGGGGGGGAGGGACTGAGCGCGCACAGGCTCTACATCCACCTTTGCTTGGTATATGTACACAAATATACTAAACTCAGGTTCATAATTTTATTTAGCAAATATTTTTAAAAAGAGGAAGGTTCACTTCCTGTATAAAATCATAAAATGGCACTACCTGTAGACATACATGTACATGTACCAATTGGCATGGCGTTAAATTTCAGGGATCGCCATGAAATATCGGGAAAATTCAATGAAATTTTTAAAAGTTGAAGATGTCACGGCGTCATATGACGGCGACCAAGGCCTTTCTACGGAGCTCCAGCGGCGTACAACTACGTTCCCTCGGAGTTTTAACTAATGACAGACCGCGGGCTGAGTGCTTGCACAAGGCGTTCTTTGAAACAGTGACCGCAAGGTCTCTGTGCAAGCGCCATCAACTATACCACTGCGTCCATACTCCGATCATATACTAGTATATGCGTCACATGAGCGCGCCAGCTCTTGTGGCGATGTTGGAGACCTTGTCGCAATGTTATGGTGACTATGCGGCGTTTCTATTGCCTGTATGCATAACAGTACGCACTGTGTACCACGGCGCGTACTTTGTCATGCTTTTAGAAACGCATGGCGTTCACATAGGCGACCCAACCACGTCACTTGGAGATTCCACCGACTTTTTGCGGCGCTGTAAGAGACTTTGACTTTTGCGCGCAGCTCGGCGTTCTGATTTTTCAAAAGAATGAGATACAACTGCATGTATTTTGGTAAAACTCACGAATTTCATCATAGAAATCAATGGAAAACTGAAATATTTTTACCACCTCCTTTGAAAAAAAAATCCTTTTTGCAGGTATTACAATTGTTGAAACAAATTCATATCAAAGCTTTTGTAAATCAAGGGGGTGAACAAAATACAGTGAAATGTTTTGGGTGGACTTCTATTTTGTTGAATAATGTAATATGAAGTGAGAGCTTACCAGTGACACCGAGTATTGTACAAAAAGGAATTTATTTTCAAGAATTAAAATAAAGACGCATGAAAACATGCAAAAATTTTCGTTTTAAAAAAAGATCTTAAAAAAAATATATGGAAGCACTTGCTGAGGTCGAAAGGCTTTCGTAGTTCTTATCGAATAAAAAAAGAAGCGAAAAAAATTCTGGCCAGTGTGGGGGTCGAACCCACGACATTCGCGTTATTAGCACGACGCTCTAACCGACTGAGCTAACCGGCCGTTAGAGAGAAAAGTGTTGTACAGGTATATAAAGCTCACTATTAACAACGTAAATCTATATTAGAACAATGACCGCATTCTTTCATATAAGCGTGCGGATCTTGGAACTTTTTCATCTACTTCCATTTCTTTCATACATAAATTTCTCATTTTGTTCTTAATACATTACAGGTGCTTGTATTAAAACTTTAAAAAAAAAAAAAAAAGATTTTTTTTTTAATCTATACATGCTCATTCGCATATTACCAGCGATTACCTGATAAAAAAAAATCAGAGACATAAAAAATTATTTATGTCTCTGCTATAAAAGCATAAACTTCCAAAACATTGCTTAATGACCGTGGGTATACCGAAACGGTTGTGAAAAAAATAATAATAACCAGCTGTTAACCGTACGATACCATATTTGGGATCATTTTTCCCCCAAGTGCACTATACGTGTGTCCTTCAGCCAGCAATTCAGAGAATTATGTTGTTCAATTGACTATTTGATGACTGAATTATATTATAGGTTTAAAAAGTACTAGAGAAACAAGTGTCTGTGGTACATTACCTCTCATTTGACCCCTTCAAGAGCTGGCACTTTTTTTTTAAATAATCAAAATCAATTTTATATAAATTAATTATGTTCATAATATTTGGAAAAATAAGACCAATCTGATTGATAACCAGTTAAGTGTCTGTAAAATTTTGTTGTATGCACAAATAGAGAACAATAAAGTTATATCCTCAATATACAAGTTAAATAAATAAACAAGAATTCCTGAAAATATGGGATATATTGATTTTTACAAAAGACGTATATACACCTTGCAATAAATTGCTGAGTCTGATAACTACATATTACAGATAAGTATTATATAATACGCGCAATTTGCGATATTGAGACATATATTCCATTAAGAATCAACTTCAAACATTTAAAAAGAACTCTTTAACTCATATCACCTATAATACACACGTTTAAATTGGGGATATACGTTGACTGATCATCAATCAGTAGAAATTTAAGCAACGAAACACTAACCAGATATTTTTTAATGTAGCTTAGTAAAAAAAATACAAGCTATTTTTTTTTCAAATTTATTTTTTTTTTCTTTCTCTCAGAATTTCATGATCCGTGCGAAGCACCAACAGGTTCAGGAGAACATGACGAGAGCCCAGCAAACACGATACCATCACCACGTGAGGAAATATCAGATGAAAACTCGGCAAGTTTTATCTTCAACGATACTAAACAATCACCAAAAAATACGAATAGTTGTGATCAAACTTCTTTATTAACTGCTGCTGACCCGAAAACAGAAGGATTGCCGGCTAATTACAAATACCTCAAAAATGAAGAAAATGATAAAGGTCACGAGAATGAAGCACCTCCTGGGGAAGAAATGTTAAGTGATGACGTTGCAGAGGAAGGAGAACAAGGTCCGTTGGAAAGTGAAACTGGAAATGAAACTGGCGGTAAAATGGACGATTCATGCCGTGTTAGCTAATTTAAATTCACACATTTTGCATAATATCCACAATATAAACCTCTATAACAGTCCATACACATGTAAATATACTATTTAGCAGACATAAAGTATGTATTGAATAAACCTGAGGTAGGTTTCATTTCAATATTAATTTATTATGATATACTAGTAGATTATATTTAATGAGAGATATATCGTAATTTACAATAACATGTACATCTTCAGTTCTAAATATAGAGTCAACTTTAGGTATTATTTATAAAAGCAGTGCACAATAATTAAATCCTATCTGACTGTGGTCCATTGCTTGTTGGAATATTGCACAGGTCTTTTCCATTTATTGCGGAATAATTTTCTTTTTTATGTATGCATTGGTTATGTCAATAAACAAGAAGATTGGAAAGTTTTGGGGTTTTTTCGCAGCATGAGCTCATCATCGTTTATATTGTTAATTAAGATTCTTCTTACAATAATTGCACGTAATTACGATTTGTTATTTTTTTCCCCCTGTTTCAGTTGTATATAAGGTATATTATATGTTATTCAAAATATTGTACCTCATGTACACATGTACAAGTATTTTGGTTTGACTGAATAAATATTGAACTTGAACTGTAGTAGATGTTTTAAAAACTTCTACTGTGTTAATTGCATTATCAAATTAAGAAATGGTGTACGAACATCATTTCCGGTAAAATAGTATTTTCCCCTATAAATACGCAAGAATCTAGCATCTAAAGACGTTATGCAAGTTTTTGGGATAGCTTTAAAAAAAAACTACCATTCTCTATTTATTTATTTATTTATTTATTTATTTATTTATTTATTTATTTATTTATTTATTTATTTATGTAATAATTTTATTTAATTTATTATATATGAAATTATTTTGTTCCATTTGTAGAAAGGGGGGGGGGGTAATTTTCAACACAAAATAATTTGACTTTTTTTTTCAATGAAAGGGGGGGGGGGTGTCATCGAATATCTATGTTAAGTTCTATCATTATTTACTATTATTAATCTACAGAAGAACGCCGGTTGTTCAACCATATTTTGATATCGTTCAATATTTCTGTACAGCACAGCACAAACAAACATTTTATTTTAATATGCACTTGTACAATGTTAATAAGAATACGTGTCTTGAAACTTAGAAACACCCAAACAAACACAAACATGTCCAGTGTTGTTAAGCCAACGTTAATATACTCAGTGGTCATTTTAAAGTTAACATTTAGTAAAGAGAATAAGTAACAAAAAAATAATTATATATAGTCATCATACGCAAGGTCATTAAATATGATTTTCCTGATAAAACAATGACTAAGTTGATGATACCGACAGCTAGACTCTTCACTATGTCGACTGCGCATGTCCGTGATGTCACAGTTACAATATCATTAGAGAGGCGAACACACGAAAGTCACCATGATAATATGAGCGTAGCTCACTATTTTGCTTTCTCTCTTGCTATTATAATTTTAGGAGGATGGTGTTTCGTTTGGTTTATGCATATTTTGGCCATAATCTATGGGTAAGTACATTATGGTTTTATTAATAATGGTATTTTTAGTATTTTTTAAAAAAAGACAAGCAAGGCATGTCACCGTCGTGACGAGAAAACATCAAATAATCAAGTTTAATATCTTTAAATTGTGTCGTATAAATCATCAATATTAATTAATTAGATTAAAAGGTTTGGATGAGTATATTGAATTATTAATTATATGATCCCTGAGTACTATACAACTCCAGAACATGGAGGAATGCTGAATTTTCGACATGCCGGTAAAAATGGGCGGGGTGTTGGGGTATGAATACGTACATCGGTATGCTTGGAAATAGATATTCATTACAGATGACCGGTATGACTAAAAACTGATTTGTATCGACTTCAGACAGGGTCCAGATAACATATATTAACTGCGTTTTGATTAACAATCTGAGGTAGTTATTATTTTACAAACCGGAAGACAGAGATGTAAATGATAATCACACATTCTTTCAACCCGTGTTTTAATTTTCATTAGGTCTAGATTGAGAATTGGTTGAAATATTCATTGGATCTTATTGACCTGATGGAAGGGTGGGGGATAAGTGAAGTAGTACCCTACAATCAGTGTTACCCTGTACTTGGGTAGTCATATGATGTTTATTATCCCCATTCCAGAGTCCTTGAACATGGAATACTCTTTGATGAGAAGTGTATAGAAAAAGATGCATGAAAACAAAACAAAGACACACAACCAGTAATCAGTTTTTAATGCAACTGTATCTGTTGATTTTCAATGTGCTGTTTTTTATATTGATTATATGAGGTTGCTAGCCAAAGAATAATTTATCTGCTAAGGAAACACATCATGGAGAGTCAAACATTTTTTGTGAAACTGTTAGAGATCCTAAAAGGGGTTTTTTCTGTGAGACATGTAGCTTTGTAAGCAGGAATGAAAATCACAATTATAGATTATTAAATATTACATTTGATTAACTCTGGTGGAGTAATTGGGTGATGTGAAGTGGCTGTATCCGGTAATCTAGAGTTTGTATAGTGTGATACTTTCTATTAATGATATCAAAGCAAGATACAATGAGCATGTTGGTTTTTCCAGCTACAGTTTGCCAGGTCATTGTTCATTTTACAGCCCCCCCCCCCCCCTCTTTCACTTCTCTTCTTACACATTTTTCATAAATCAAGGGTGATTTACTATGGAAATTATTATGTCACAATCAGTAATTTATGTATATTGAGTAAATGTATATCTATACTATGTGATGTACACACATATGTTACATAAAAGTGACTGCTAATTATTTGCTAACTGCTGAGAAGCAGTGTCTAGATAATTGTGACACAGCTTCAGTTAACCAGACTGTTCAAGTGTGTATGTTCATGACATAATTCAGAAAAAAGAATTTGCATATCTGAAAAATCTGTTGTTGACAAGTATTTTCATGTTTATTTAACCTCCTTTTCATAGACTTTTTTTTAATGTATTCAAAATCTAAAAATGCTTTCACACAGAGAAACCTCTACCTTCATCTATCTTTCCTTATAATTAAGATATTGAAGGTAACGCGAAAAATATTTCTGTGACAATGACCAAAATAAATGTAAACCTGCTGCATAGTTGTGGTGTGTATATATCTTATTGCAAAGTTCTAAAAGAAATGTGTAAACACGGAGTTGATTGACGCCAGGTAAAACCTGTTTCTGGACAGTTTTTGTCATGTGGATGACAATACCTTCGTATGTCAAGGTTAAAGAGGATTATCATCCCATGAATTACAATAGTATTCTGTTGAATTACCATGGTACACCCAGTACATACAGGAAATTAGTATGGATACATGTTCAAGTGGGCAGTTTTATAAATTAACAGAGTGTTCAAAGTAGGAAGTATATCAAGTGTTTGGAATAAAACGTTCTGTTGGGAGGATTATATGTAGATAGGAAGGTTTGTACGAGGGACTATAAATTCATAAGTGGCCCTGAGTAATGGGGGAGTGTTACTCATAAATTAAACCTAAAAGTCTGTATATTTTGTTATCCAGGGTATGTTACCAAGTGTTGGATAGTAATGAGCAAATATTGAAATGGGTCATTTTCACAATATCTTTCCATCCAATATGTTAATGTATAAACTGCAGTTGTGGGGCATTAGTGTGAAAAATTGCAGAAATGTGATATCATAAAAAAATTTTATGATGCAAAACTTTTATATAAGTGACAGTGAATGTTCCAACAACATGACAACTGTGAATCATGCATATTTGAGAGGGCATTAGAGTAAAACTATGTCCCCAGGCAAGGAATCATTGATCAGCATGAAAGAACAGATTTACACATTGTAACAAGGAGCCCTGCAGCCCTTGTGGCCACAGTCAGTGCCATTCTAAAATGTTTGTAATAAATCAAGTGAATTTTTCTTGTATTGAAGTAGCCCTTCCTAGTTCTGTAGAATCTTATCATTCACCCCCTTTTTCACCAGGGGACACAATTAAATAGGAAGTTACACACTGGACTCAATTTGTTGGAAACCGTCTTCTGAACCTATACATATATCAGTTCAGTACTTTTTGGAATGTAGTGTGTTGTCCACATAAACATGATAATGGGCATTGTTATCAGTTACTCAATGTGTATGAAGTATAGTATATCTAGTACTATGAAATGAAACCAGGTAGTACTGGGTATGTTAAACTAGAGATAGTACTCCGGTTATCATATCTGCTCAAATGGTTTCTGTAGATCTTTATCAGAGGGGCTGTGATAGCTGGGAGACATTTCACAGTCAAGGTTTAAAGTAGCTAATTGATAGAACATGCAATGTCTGTTAGGGAGTGGCAGATGCCAATTAAGTAGTAAGAGAGGGTGAAGATGGGAGGGGTTGATAAATACATGTACTGGTAAAGTTGATTACCGAGATGCTTTTGACAGCTACATGGTTATTTGAGATATTTTGAGTTGATTATTAGGATAAGGAATGGATAATAGTTAAATTTCATCATGGGGTTTGAAATGTCACGAAAGATTATTGTCAGATTGATAAATTGAAAAAATACTTATTGTAAAACTTTTTCCAAACAATTCTGTTTTATTAAAGGTATACATGTATATTGAAGAACAAGATGACAAGACTGAAGTATCAAAAGGAACAAAAATTCTGGTGACATAAACATGATAAATTTAAACATATTTTTTCTTTAATGATCGATTTAAAACCTATTTTTCATTATTCCTGACCTTGCATGATAAACCTTAGTGCATGATTAATACATTTAGTCTCTGAGGCTCTGTCATGTTATGAACTGTGAGCAGGCATAAATGTCTTTAACCCTAAAGGACTCTGGTTGCTATAGACTCAAGGAGCGCATTCTATGGTTTCCAAACAGTACAGGGAGATTGTTGATATTTGGAATTAAATGCCCAGAATACACATTTTGTCTTCACCATGTTCACCGTGCAGGCATTTAAAAAAAGTAAAGTGAAATCTTAAATAACTTATTTCATTGCTTTGTTTTCTCTCTATGTAGTCCTTCAAAGTGGGCGATATTAAATGACATACAATGAATATTCTGTTAATATCTTGTAGTAATAAAAGGGATTACTCAATGGGGACTCTGGTATAGGATCCAGTTTATTGCAGCTTTAGAATTTAATAAATGAAACCATCTTCAACAAACATATATATGATCATGGAAACTGCCAATTTATTTCTAAATAATAAGCTTTAGAACCAGGGGAAATATAATATTGAAATATGTAATTATGACTTAAGAAAATAAAAATGCAATTGATATTTGGTTAATACAGGTCTGTTAGGCTTTATATGTGATATTTAATATCATGTTGGGACTTGAGTGGCAGTACATAAGACACAGTTTGTTTTCATCGTATGTAGGGATGACAGGACTATAGCTGTACAAATGATTGCTTTTGTCAGTGATAGTCTGTTAGAAATGTATGTTGTAGTAGAGATTTAATGGCTGCATAACCAGGTCAAATTCTTGACCCAAATGCCTCTCCTTTAAATGAGAATTAGGTGAACTGAACAAACATGAATGAAACACAGTATTCATGACTGGAATGTTTGTGGATGAACCCATTTAATTAACACAAAACTAAAATACAATTCCCTAGCTTTTGTGTTTTGTACATGTATAAATTCACAATTACAAATCAAGGAGAGGAAATATATATATTAAGAAGTGCTTATACATATGGACTTGAGTAATCTTTCTGAAATGCATGATACTTTTTATTTTCAGAAAATATCGTCTTCACCATCCTATTCCGCCTCCCTCCCCGGAAGACCTCCAGGGCGTGTCCATCATTAAGCCTCTGGTCGGGGTGGATCCAAACCTTTATTTCAATTTAGAGTCTTTCTTTACAACTGTCTATCCCTCTGTAAGTATTTAATTAACACTCAACTTTATTGTTAGAGCAATTTTACCATGGTTTTATTTGTGTTTTTATTCTCAGACTAATACAGTGATTAGAGTAACATGAATTATTTTCACATTCTTTAAGTAATAATTGGGAAGTTATAACCAGAAATGCATTTACTGCAGGAAAATGTGTTCCAGGCTACTGGATGCATTATTTTCCTCCATTAAAGCAAATATCAACCCATGGGGACATGAATGCATCTGCTCTTAGAGCAGGCTACAGTAAATTGCTTCCTGAATATTGAATGTTTTCAATGGTGAAATGTTTGCAAAATAAATAGATGCAGTAGGAGGGAAATGCAGAATAAGCATGGTGATAAATGAATGGGGGGAAATTCCACTAGCTGGCCATCAGGACATGTTTGAACTCTGAGTCATCTCCATTAACTTCAGTAATACACATATGTTACCATATGTTGGGGCCCCTGATACTATTTCCCATAGAAGTCTTTTGGGGAAGATATTGATAAAAATTTTATCATGGTATATGCTTTCATCTCCTCCCATTAATCAGTCTAATTGACTTCAAAACTTGTACTGCTGTGAAGATCATTAAAATCACACCTTGGTGAATTTATTTTACTGGTAGATATATTCTTTTAAATTACATGGACATTACTTTTCAGTATCTTCAGAATGTGCATTCACTCTGTTGATAGTAATGTTTTTATGATTGCATATTCAAATTACTTGCACATTTGTTTTTTCTTTTTTCAGTTTGAACTTCTTTTCTGCTTACAAGATGAAAGTGATCCTGCTCTTATGGTTGTTAAAGCCTTAATGGAAAAATACCCAAAAGTAGATGCTAAAATTTTCATAGGTAAAGTTGTACATATGCTACAGTGGTTATAATGTAGAGGGTATTTTGTCACAATGTGTTGTAAGCCATGTCATTATCCCTATATTGAATCAATATACTGGTATTGTAAGCAGTCTTATTTTCCCATATATTGAATCAATGCAGACTTGCTATTCCTTTAGTGGAGGGAAAGGGGGGGGGGGTGTTGCTAATAGAAGAAATTTTTTAGACAATGCTGACAATGTAAAATAGATTAAAATGTAAGGGGAATGTTTTCTTTGATTTTATGTTGTTTAACAAACTCATTGATAAGTATAATGGAACGTTACATATAAAGGAAATATGCAAGGTTTAATTTGATAAAGTGAATTGAATGCAATTTATTTTATCATATGCATTACACTTATCATTATTTTTCAGGTGTTAAATATGTTGGCCCCAACGGGAAAGTCAACAACATGTGCAAAGCATACGAGGCAGCCAAATATGATTTAATAGTTATATCTGATAGTAGTATTTTAAGTAAGTATTACAATAATTAAGATTCAATACTTTTGTTAATGTAATGATGTAAAACTATTCTACACTGTACAAAATTTTAATCTGGATGTTATTGATTCCAAAGAAAAAAAAAAGAATAATGATATTAATTCCTGATTCTTGGAAAGACAAAATGTGAAATAACCATGACAACCCAATGTGGTCGTGATGTTGTGTGAGAAAATGATGGATTTTTCTGTGTTGATATGATTGTAATGGACATGGAACAAGCCCTGATTAATGAAGGGGGGTCAACTTTCAACGTGTTAAGGACAGCAAATTGTTCATGTCAGATTGCAGAGAAGGCAAAGCCCATGCATCATTGTTATTAGATTTCGTAGTTTCCCTTGCAGGGATCAATACTAACGAGATTCCTTATTATTACTTTTGCAGTGAATCCTGATACATTAATGGACATGATGTCTTTTATGAAACCTGATGTAGGGTTGGTTTTACAGATGCCATATTCATGTAATCGCAAAGGTTTTGCCGCTGTGTATGAAAAAGTAAGTGTGAAACATGCATTAAAATGCATTGTACGTCATATAAAGCAGAAAGGTTCAAAAGATAGAATGGCTGCAAGGAATCTTCCCGGTGATAGTATTTCAGTATTAAAAAAAGCCCTGTTTAAAGCTTGACTGAGTCCATTATATATGGTGTCTAATAGATAGTGGAAAATCCTTTTCACCTTCATGAAGGACAAGTGTTGGCTCCTTTTTATTTTTGTAAATATTTTTAAAAAAGCAACAGGGAACAAATTTGTTTAAAGAATAGAGTAAACAAATTTTAAGTGCTTTTGATGCAATACAGTAAAAGAGTCTGTTAACAATTACATAACTACAATAATTAAAACTGTTTATTTTATAAATTAGTCTGATGGATGTTAGTCAGAATATCTTAAATAAGTAACAGATTAACACTGTGCTGTAGCAGACAATTAGAATTTCAGGTCCTGTGAAAGTTTGCTTGTTGATGCGTATGTTTGCGGTGTTTGCACTTGTAATAATGATTGATATTGTCTGTTGCAGGTTTACTTTGGAACATTTCAGTCCAGAAACTGCCTTAGTGCTAATTCTGTAGGAATTAATTGTTCAACTGGCATGTCATGCCTTTTCCGAAAAGACGTTTTAGAAAAATCTGGAGGACTTGCTCCTCTGGGCAAATATTTAGCTGAGGATTATTTTATCTCTGAAAATATTAGAAAAGAGTAAGTACCCTGGTATCTATTGTTTGATTTAATATAGAATGAAATTTTTTGTGCATGTAAAATATTACATTTACTTGAAGCTATCAACAATTTATTCTTTTTAATATCAACAATTTATGCTTATAATTGATGTTGAGAACTCAATCATTTTAAGTTTTGATGTTTCTTTTGCAGAGGATATAAAACAGTATTATGCAGTCAACCCGCACAGCAGAATTCTGGACACTACAGCATGAGTCATTTTCATCAAAGACTCATCAGGTACAGATACATTTCATCATTCTGTGTTCATCATGCTATGCACAACAGTAACATGCAACTGAAATCTACACTCAAAACCATCATTAATCAAATTCAGAAGTAATATGTTTCAAGCTTACAAAAACTCGCTTATGAGGAAAATGGAAAGAAGGAAATCTTAATAATAAGAAAGCTATATCTTTTCCCCATCTATCATGTAATTTTTTCATGGATATGAAGAATTATAAGGAACTGAAATGTACACCAGACTTCTTAACTGTTTACTAGCATCTTTAAAAATTTTCCTGAAAGGTTGTAAACATGAATTTGTGACTTGTAATTATAATTTGATTATTTTCATCGTACAGGTGGTCTCAGCTGCGCATCTCTTTGTTACCTCATCTCATCCTATTTGAACCGCTGTCCGAGTGTATGTTGATGGGCGTGGTGGCCTCTTGGGCGGCTGAATACATCTTTGGCATCAGTTCTATGGGTTTCTTCCTCATGCATGTTCTAGTCTGGTTCCTATTTGACTACACCCTTATCACATGTGTCGAGGTAAGTTTACACCGGTTACCAAGTATTCAGGATGTTTGGACAAATACCCTTATTAGTGAAGCATAGTGACTCACAAAATGCTCATTAGAAATGTTGAAGGATATCTTCAAGATACAGACAGTGTTTCTTAGAAAAAGCTTTCAATTTAGTTAATGAATCACATAACCATTTAAGGAATCTAAAAAGCTAATGCATTTTCAGATACCTTTAATTGATAAATGAAATATAAAAATACTTTTCATTTCATTTTGAAAGACTTTCCTTTTCCTTTAAATCTTAAAGAATTTTCTGCTGTTTTCTACTATAAAAATTTGAACGAATATTTGAGTATCATGATATTGTAATAAACTGCTTCAGCTGTGGACTTTTTTAATATGGTAAAAAAGTTGATCATGCATAAAGACGGGGAAAGTAGAGCTTGTCTTATGATTAATATATTTCTGTATAAGCTCAAAGTTTTTATGTCTCAATTTTCAGAATGGACCACTTCCTTTTTCCAAATTTGAATTCTTGGTTGCCTGGATGCTTCGTGAAGTGTTGTCTATCTGGTTGACCATTCAGAGCCATAAGACTTCAATAGTGCAGTGGCGACACAAGAAATATAAAGTTCTGTGGGGTGGGACTATTGAGGAAATTGTGTGATTATGGATTTATCATGTAGAAAGGAAGGATAGAAACAAGTTCCACAGTGTGCAGTCTCTTCCGTTCCAAACTCTTACACACTTGGCTGGATTTGTCATCGTGTACAGGGATGTTACAGGAAGTAGAAGACCCTCTAAGAAATCTCAGAGCATATTTAAGTGTACATCTGTCAACCATTCATCCAATTCCAAAATAAATTAATAATTTTGGATATTTTCCGTATTTGTGAACTTTGCACAGATAATTTTATCTTTGATCATTTATTGATTTTTATGATAATTTATAAACAGAATTTTTTGAGTGAATTGTTCCATAATATGAGTACAAAATTCTGTGGGTGGAACGGGGGTGGTTTAAAAGCAAAAAAAAAAAGCAAATTATTTTAAATTAATCCCATATTCCTGTCTGACGGGGGCTTTTTCAGGGGACAAAGTCCTAAATGACGACAGTATTGTTACATCTTTTGTGAGATCTGAATACTCATTTTTAAAGCACTCAAGTTGTTGCACTGATAACTACATGCATTGAGGCCTCTAGCAATGGAGAGACTCTGCAGGTAGAATGTTTTGCCATGCATTTGATGATATTCAGTTCACATTTGCCAAAAATATTAATTATTTACAAGAATTATGTTAATTAAGTGTTCAGTCCACTGTACCCAGGGTACTGATTTTTTTTATTAACACAAATGAATTGTCAAATGAGAAGAAGCTATGGCAGATTCAGTGCCTGCTGTTTAGTGCTTGTCCTCTGGAATTTTTACTACATATGTCATCATTAGGAAAAGTTGTTTCCATTTTGTTTGTTTGTTTGTTTTAATATGCATTTCATATGTGTTCTTCCTGTGTTACAGGAGTTTAGTGAAGTGATGCCATTGAAATTGAAAGTGATCAAATATTTGTGAATTGCTCACATGCAAAAAAAAATGAATAAATAAATAAATAGATAAATAAATAAATAAAAATACATTCAGAAATAAACACTTCCTAGATAAAATGTATTTATTTTTTAAGACAAAAACATAAATGTGTTTTTCAAATTATGCATTTACTCTTAACATGCCCCTACTGCTTTTTTATCTTGTGAGATGCAAAAAATTAATAATAATTCATGTACAAATTTATAAATCTAATAATACATTTTAACCTTTGATTTATGTCTGGTCAAGCATGTGTGTTTAACACAGTTACCTGATTTGAATTGATTGACATGGCAGGAGGAGTTATAGGTGTATGATTAAGAGATAGGAGTTCACCTTTGTCATCCTATTGCACAGGGCAGTTATAATACAGAATAGTTTTATATTGTATTTAATATTATCAATAAATCAATAAGACTAGGCCTTACAAACTCTTATCTCAGATCTATGATTTAGTACACACAAACTTTACAATGCTTTAATTAATACAAACTCTACAATGCTTTAATTAATGCTTAAAAATGTGTGATTTGGTAATATAAATGAAAAAATGTTAACCATTAAGAAATTGTATTCATGTATGTTTTTGTTCTTGTTTCTTGGTTTCGAATCAAAATTAAGATACATAATTGTTCTTTGTGAATTAGATATGTGTTGATCAATTAGTATCCACAGAAAATAATTCCTAGAGGTTTGATTCTACTATTAAGTTTATTCGTTGTCATGTAATACCCCCATGCTTTGATGACTTTGTGTGATGAATTACCCTGGTCCACCAATAAACCGTGGGTAAAATGATCATCTCTTTGGTATGTGTTATTGCAGTTCAATTTTGTTATTCATGTCATTTTTTATACAAAAAAGAAATAAAAAAGAATTTTTATACTGAACAAATCACTTGTTTTCTCATTTTTGTATGTGGATAATATGAAAAATTAGGCATCGAAATACAGAAAAGAATGAACAAGAGGATTAAATTTAAAGATTATGAATACGGATATATTATTTGTTGCATTTATATCACAAGCATCCTGGAGTGTGTGAAATTGTTAATCTAATATAGAAAATTATAGTGAAGACTCGGCTAAATGTAGTTAACTATTTTGATACATGTATGTAAATGGGACATTCTGCAGCTGTCATTTTGAATCAGTGAAACGTGTTACAGAGAGTTCTCTGAAGAAAAATATTTTTAAAGATGATATTCAAGTATGTATATCATTATTGTCAGATTGGGCACTGTGTCAGATTTTTCTGGAGATAGGTGTGAAATTGTCCGACGGGAGACATTGATCGTTCCTATGACGTAAGATGGCGAGAGGTTGTGTTTTGTATACACATTTAATGTCATCCCTATAATTAATTAACCTACAGTTCTAGATGGGATGTTGGCTGCACGCGAATTATTCATCTGAAAGATGCAAGTTATCTGGGATGTCGATGCAACATTTATTGAGGCACTGAAAAAAAGACAATAGTGCTGACTCGACTCGTCTATATTTTCTTCATGGCGTTTCGATATCTACTTCCACTACCTATAGATTGTCACCCTACTTAACCCTTATTTCGTGTTCTCTCTCTCTCTCTCTCTCTCTCTCTCTCTCTCTCTCTCTCTGTACTCATTAGGGGATACGTTTTAAGAATCCAGTGTAAATCGTGCATACGTTTACACTATGCCTTTGAAATTTGTCGTTACAATGGTTAAAAATAGATATGTTCTTTCAAAGTATCGTTCTATTTCGTCACTCGAACTTGAGTTTGGCAATGAAATTTGAATTTGAAGTGTAATTGATATTTTAGGTGAAACGTCCACTTAAGGTGCGCTCTTGAGAAACTAAGGTTGTTAGTTACAAAAAATTCTATATCACTATTATTCACTCTGCACAAGGTCAATGATTTAAAATGTATCAACTTAATTATTCGGTCAAAATTGACGTATCTTGTTTACAGACTGAAGATGTGTTATCGCACATTATTTAGATGGCTAAGATTAGAATTCTACCTTGTTGAAAAAGATACGAGGTTAGGTGTCACAACATTTCGAAATCGCTTTTTTTTTTTTTTTTAGATTGGGGCCAATTTATTTATATACACATACGATGTAATATATTGTCCTCCATTTCATTGTGCTTTTTGATATATTACTCTCCTTTTTTGCTGGAGAGAGAAAAAGAGAGGGAGGGATATCTAATGTGCAATTTTTTTATTTAATATTTTAATTGGTCTGATACATTATTTCTGATTTTTATAATATTTTGGATAGTCACAGCAAATTGAGTACCCCCCCCCTTCTCTAAGTGGTTTTAAACTTTGTATGGTATCGTACCTTTGTGATCATATATATCTCTTAAAAATAACTTAGCAAGGTGATTGGCATACAGTACATGTTCATCTATACGATAATTGAACTTTGGATTATCATGATATGACGTGATATAACGCAACTGCACAAAGAAACTGATCGATTTTATCAGTACATATATAATCTGATGTTTTGTTTTAAAACCGGTTATTAATGACCAAAATTGGAGAGGTTTTGTTTATGAACTTTCGGTGAAGAACCCCTGACGACTAGTGACCCCCATCAGCATTGTGACTGGTACATCTATAGTAGGACTTGTAGTAAACAAAATCATACATTAGAAAAGAACAGTGACTTGGAAACCAAGTAGAATACAATAATCGTAACTTCTGTTTTGCTCGGTTCATTAAATATATATTTCAGCAAGAATCATGAGCAATTGAGCCGATTTTCTCTCCATTTTTCCCAAATAGTTAATTCATGTAAGAATCGGTCTAGCTTTCCTTCCCCTGTTACATTGAAACACTCTTCCAGTATTTTACTTTGCCTAACTTTTACAAGATATGAAATAAATCAATTAAACGACCTCCTCTAGGCTTATGACAAACTGTCTAAATATGAACCAGGTCACATTTCTCCGTAGCTGCGTGATAGATCTACTGCCGAAACCTCAAGTCAGTTCAATTAGTAAGAGTATTTAGAGTAACAAATTAACCAATACTGGGTATTTGTACTAAATGTGTGTCCAGATACTATTAGTGAAATTGTTTTCAGTTACCTTTTAATACCTTATAACCGATAGAGGCTATTGAATTTCACATAGATATAAAGGACATATTATTAAAAAAATATTTTCATAGAAGTTGGGAGATAAAGTTAAAAATATCTACATGTATTAATAAAAACAGACAGGATTCAAATTTGTATATTTCTAGGCACATGGGCCATCACTATATTGGGACCATGTGTATATATATTATAATTTGTATCTGGAGTTGCATGGATCCTCACACGTCAGGGGTCCTGAGTCCACTCATGTTCGTGGGTCCAATGCTGGGCTTGAAAAGTTTATTCAATTATGTGTCAGTCTTTTTCTTCTATTTCAGAGGTCAATTTATGCCCAGGACAGTTAAATATTCGTAAAATGTACATCGTTTAAACTTGTATCTGTATATTGCATTACTATGGACATTAGGGTAAAAAATGTAATTTACTGAGTTTTTAAGCACACTTCCTTGTAGTGATTATTTTATTTTATTTTATTTTGAGTGAAAATGTTTTAAGTCAACGCAAAAAGCGACCTTTCCCCCTAAAATTTCCATCATAAAATATCAATGTTTTTTAACTCAATTAATTGTTTGTATATATGTCCTGTCCTTTTTTGTTTATCATCGGTTAACAACTAAGAATTTAAGTCATGATTTGAAATGAGAGTACAACCATATTTACACGTACTAGGAAGTAATTAAAACTATGGGCAAAAACCTAAGTTTCTTCCGTATTGAGCTATCTTGAGAATTTTTTTGCCTGGTATTACGTGTATTTAACCTTTTTTCATTATTAATTTTAGCATCACATTGCATATATACCACGACCAATTTCAACTACGAGTACTTGTAAATATTTTAAATGGTTACATTGCTGCATTTATATATTTCCTCTCACTGTCTCTCCATCTCAAAACCAGCGACTCTCTTGAGAGAGAGAGAGAGAGAGAGATCTCAAAACCAGAGAGAGAGAGAGGGGGGGTTCATTTCTTTAAATAAAAGGAAATCGTCTCTACGAAACAATTTCAAGTGATGTGTTAAGTGTTTACGGGGGTGTTTAGACATGAAGCATCGTCCAGGAAACAATTATCCGTCATACGTAATCCAATCCTAAAAGTATTAAGTATAAGACGAACACACATAACAGAGTACAATGACTTTTTTGCATGACCAGTATGAGTTATATACATGTGATTATTTGCGTTTTAATTAAATGAAGCATATCATTTTTTACAACGTTATGGTCTTATACATTGTATGCCTTACACATTTCTACGAATCACAAACGCAGAAATACATAACTTGTAATTTGCAGGCATCACTGAAAACAAACTCATTTATGGCAGATATTTAAGGGAATATTATTACAATAAATATCGACCAGAAAACATTTTTCCCCAGTTCATGGCACCTTCTCTCTTAGATGTGAATCTAATTTTAATAATCTTTAGTATCAACAGAATTAATTTTAAGTCTAAGAGACTAAACAATATATATATGAAACAGTCCCCTACTTTGATCTTTCTTTTATTTTTTCAACTATAATTTATGACCATAAGTGTTTCTTAACTATATTGTATATATTTTACTGAAAAAAAAATGACTTAAAAATTTAGTGAGGCCAATCTATATCTCAACTTTTTTTTTTTTTGGTCACTTAATTATGCAAAATTTTCTTTTCACCAAATACATTATTCATGCAAATAATTTATGAAATCATCGAGCCAAAATTTCTAACCTTAAAAAATAAAAATACTACAATTTCTCAACAGTAAACTTCATCTTCGCATATGACAAGTGAAATCACCGCAACGTCTACATACAATTTTCAGAGATATTGTTGTTGATACATGTATTATGAGAAAGCGCCAGAAATCCAGTATTTTGTGAAGTTGGATGCATACAATATGAGCTATTAGTAAAGTGTTGTTTTTTTTTTCCTAAGAAGGCATTTGTCAATGAAAATTAAAATGATATACTTATGGCCAGGCAGTAAAAAAAGACAACTCTATATATATATTACCAAGTAAACCAGAGTTATTTTTCTTAGTTAGTGATCACGTCACCTGAAGAGTATTCATTGTTTAATGATATTTTCAGTATACGAGAAGGAAGGCTACAGTATATTAATTTTTAGTGTCATTTCTAGTTTAATGAAATCAACACCCGAAAGATTAATTTTGAAAGCCAATAGAAAGAAAACGTATACAAACATGCTCAACCCCAGTAGACATTAATCAATGAACTGCAACATTCAGATGGAAAAAAAAAGCCCATCATTTCCTGGCAGGTTTCGCCAGAAAAAATCCCCATTTAATTAATCATGGATAATCCTAAAGGGAAAATATAAAACCTTCATCACAGTAAACAACAAATGTTCAAATATACCTGTGTATTTATGATTGTTTCATTAAAAGTAAGGAGTGTTGTTGGTAGATATATATATATATATATATACTGATTTGATAAGTATTTGGTACACAATGGTGTACTATGTTCATCTTCGAGAACCCTTCTATGTCAGAAATTTCCCTTCCCTCAAGGTTACGATGAAGTATAACCAGCAAATCCACAGAACAAAAAAAAAATCTAACTATTAAATATTAGTTCTAAAATTCCACTCTCCATACTTCTACAATCATACCCAGAGTCTTTTCATAGCCATGACAGAAATTCTTACATTGATTGTGGACAAATAAAATACAAAAATAATTTTTTGAACAACTTTTCATGGAACTGTTGAAGACTATCATAACAAAGTTAAAAGAATCTTAACATTTTCCCGACCACTTTTAACAGTTCTCCAACTGTTCACGTAAATAAAAGATTTACAAAGTAACCGTTTGCACAAATACCCCCCCCCCCCCTTCATTAGGTTTTTGTATTATATACAAAGGCAAAACAATAAACTCTTAAAATTCATAGCTTTTTATCTTTTTGGAATAGAGAAAGGGAATCGAGATTTCCACTTTTCTTGACACTATATTGGGTCATGTGATCTCCCCACATACTATCACAAAAAACAAGCAGAAATTTCCTTTACTTGTGCTATATATATATATATATAAAACAATGAAGCCTTGAAATGATAAGAATCACAAAGAATGATAATGGAAACATTTCCCTTGACATTTATTGATAATAATGTGTATATCAGGACATATATAATGTGTTAAATATATTCTCAATCTTTGTATTATGCTAAACACATTTTTTTTTTGTCAATGCAAACAGCACTAAAAACGTCTGCACTGAAAAAAGGACTAGATCTAACACGCTGGCAAAAAATACATACAAATTCACAGGTACTTTCTAAAATTATATCAAAATAACTTGCAGAAAACTGTATTGATAATAAAACAGTAAAAACAATATACAGTAGTACACTAACTATTTGTAAAGTTACAAGTAACTGAGTAAGGGAGAAAATCTAAATATATACTATAGGCATAAATGATTCTAAAATTTTTTAACAATAATAGTTTGTCACTTGAAAATTGTACAATGTAAAATGAACAGATAATCAACATATAAATCACATCCAAGACCAATGTCACCAAATATAATCTAGAACCCTACTCCCTAAAGCAATCTCAAAATTTGCAAAATCTGTAAATTTACTAGAATTAAGACCTCATTTCACACATAATTCTGTAACCAATATTCTTATATGATTCAAGAATATAATCTATACTTTACAAGAGTAACAAGAGAATAAGCACTATAATTATCCAGGATATAATCATCTCTACAAAACTGACATTTACTAATTAAAATAATTTGGGTTTCAGTTTCTTGATTTGCTTGATTTTTAATCCTTTTTCTGATCAATTTTCTAACCAGGCACTTTAGTTCCATATTCACATAGGATTGGAAAGGACCTCTGTCTCATCAGTCACAGGTCTACAATTAAAAAAAAACAAGATGTGTTTGTGAAACACTGATGCCCCCACATGGCAGCTTATGGCGGAGGTTAAAGTTTCTTCAAATGCAAGTCAAAATCCAGGCCAAAAGATAAAAAATGTTGATACCCAAAGAAAGGTCTTGTCTCGAGGAATACACCTGTGAAATTTGAAAGACCTAGAAACAACTGTTCAAAAGTTATGGCCAAGGTTAAAGTTTTTTTAAACAAGAGGCCCATGGGCCACAACGCTCACCTGAGTCAATATGGCCCTGCTGTTCTTCGTCAGCAGATTTCTTCTCCTATATTTCTCCTATATATTCATATATAAAGCTTTGATCGCCTGTTCTAGGCATACCCTACCCCAAGGTGCCATGTTTTGAATGAAATTGAATATAAACCTTCTGAGGATGCTTCTATCTTCATATAACTAATCATGATTTTGCTGTTCTTTAAAACAGAATTTTAAATATGTCTAACACCTTACCCTGGGGGGGGGGGGGGGGGGGTCATGATTTGAACAAACTTGATTGTACACTACCTGAGGATGCTTCCATATCAATATGACTGATCATGGCTTTGTTGTTCTTGAGATTGAAGAAGATTTTTAAAGATATTTCCTGTATATGTTCTATTGTAAAACTTTGAACCCCCATTATGGCCCTACCCTACCACTGGAGGATGCCTTAAACTAGCTTGAATCTACAATATTTGGGGAAGATTCCATATCAATATGACTAATTGTGGCTTTGTTGTTCTTGAGAAGAAGATTTTTAAAGATTTTCCCTAATTATTCCTATGTTAAACTTTGATCCCCCATTGTGGCCCCACCCTTCTCCTGGGGGTCATGATTTGAACAAATTTTAAGCTACACTACTTGAAGATGATTCCCTATCAATATGACTAATTGTGGCTTTGTTGTTCTTGAGAAGAAGATTTTTAAAGATTTTCCCTATATATTTCTATGTAAAACTTTGATCCCCCATTGTGGCCCCACCCTACCCCCGGGGGTCATGATTTGAACAAACTTGAATCTACACTACTTGAGGATGATTCCATATCAATATGACTAATTGTGACTCTGTTGTTCTTGAGAAGAAGATTTTTTTTCTATATATTCCTATACAAATCTTTGATCCCTCATTGTGGCCCCACCCTACCCCCGGGGGTCATGATTTGAACAAACTTGAATCTACACTACCTGAGGATGATTCCATATCAATATGACTAATTGTGGCTTTGTTGTTCTTGGGAAGAAGATTTTTAAAGAATTTTCCTATATATTCCTATGTAAAAATTTGATCCCCCATTGTAGCCCCACCCTAACCCCAGGGGTCATGATTTGAACAAATTTGAATCTACACTACCTGAGGATGATTCCATATCAATATGACTAATTGTGGCTTTGTTGTTCTTGAGAAGAAGATTTTTAAAGATTTTCCCTATATATTCCTATGTAAAACTTTGATCCCCCATTGTGGCCCCACCCTTCTCCCGGGGGTCATGATTTGAACAAACTTAAATCTACACTACCTGAGGATGATTTCATATCAATATGACTAATTGTGGCTTTGTTGTTCTTGAGAAGAAGATTATTAAAGATTTTCCCTATATATTCCTATGCTTAACTTTGATCCCCCATTGTTGCCCCACCCTACCCCCGGGGGTCATGATTTGAACAAACTTGAATCTACACTATGTAATGAAGGTTTCACATAAGTATAAACTTTTCTGGCTCAATGGTTCTTGAGAAGAAGATTTTTAAAAGATGACACCAAATTTTCACCAATTCTTAATTATTTCCCCTTGGAAGAGGGCGTGGCCTTTCATTTGAACAAACTTGAATCCCCTTCACCCAAGGATGCTTTGTGGCAAGTTTGGTTGAAATTGGCCCAGTGGTTCTGGAGAAGAAGTCGAAAATGTGAAAAGTTTACAGACGGACGGACAGACAGACAGACAGACAGACAGACGGACGGACTACAGACAAAATGTGATCAGAAAAGCTCACTTGAGCTTTCAGCTCAGGTGAGCTAATAAAAGTCAAACGTCAAGATCAAGGTCAAAGTGGTTGGTATCCAAAGGCAGATCTTGTCACAAGGATTACATTTGTGAAGTATGAAAGCCCTAGCACCAACCATTCAAAAGTTATGGCCAAGGTTAAAGTTTTTCAAAAGTAGGTCAAACTCCTAGGTCAAGGTCAAAGGGTCAAGGTGGTTGGTATCCAAAGGAAGGTCTTGTCACAAGGATTACATATGTGAAGTATGAAAGCCCTAGCATCAACCATTCAAAAGTTATGGCCAAGGTTAAAGTTTTTCAAAAGTAGGTCAAACTCCTAGGTCAAGGTCAAAAGGTCAAAGTGGTGGTTGGAATCCAAAGGAAGGTCTTGTCGCAAGGATTACGTATGTGAAGTATGAAAGCCCTAGCTCCAACCATTCAAAAGTTATGGCCAAGGTTAAAGTTTTTCAAAAGTAGGTCAAACTCCTAGGTCAAGGTCAAAGGGTCAAAGTGGTTGATATCCAGAGGAAGGTCTTGTCACAAGGAATACACATGTGAAGTTGGAAACCCTAAGCACCAACTGTTCAAAAGTTATGGCCAAGGTTAAAGTTTTTCAAAAGTAGGTCAAACTCCAAGGTCAAGGTCAAAAGGTCAAAGTTGTTGGTATCCAAAGGAAGGCCTTGTCACAAATAATACACATGTGAAGTTTGAAACCCCAAGCACCAACTGTTCAGAAGTTATGGCCAAGGTTAAAGTCTCATAAAATTTTGCAAAAGTGGGTCAAACTCCAAGGTCAAGGTCAAAAGGTCAAATATTATGGTACCCAAAGAAAGGTCTTGTGACAAGGAATACACATGTGAAATTTGAAAGTCATAGCTCCAACCAATCAAAAGTTATGGGCAAGGTTAAAGTTGACAACAGGCAGACAGACAAACGGACAAACAGACAAACGGACAAACAGACAAACAGACAGACAGGACAAAAACAATATACCCCTGGGATCTTTCGATCCAGGGGCATAAAAAAAAGATATTGTAAATGTTTGTAATTACATGCATCTTATTTATACACTTTACAGAAATTTCATTTGTTTACTTACATTGTATACACTACAATCACAGAACATCAAACTGAATCATATTTTTGTAATACAGTACATATTTTGAACTAAATGAAAACAAGAGGCCCAAGGGCCTTGAATCGCTCTTCTGATAAATTGTACAACAAGTATCACTTCTATTTGAAGTCTCTAAGTATCCTGTATATTTCAATAAAGCCTTGAAATTCCAAATATAGATCATCATGACCTACATTTTAGATAAAACACTCTGAGAACCCAAGATGATTCTAAGCCAATTAGTACCTGAGAGTAGGTCATGGTGACCTACTTATCACTTGTCATTCTCCGAGGACCCAAGATGCATCAACTACCTAGGTTTGATAATTCTAAGCCAACTGGTACCTGAAATATTTATATAAAGCCATAAAATTTCAAAAGTAGGTCATGTTGATCTAGCGCTACTTTTCAGTTAACATACTCCGAAGACCCAAGATGCAACAAGTGACAAATTTTGATGATTCTAAGCCAATTAGTACCCGAATATTTAATTATAACCATAAACTTTCAAAAGTAGGTCAAAGTGACCTACTTTTCAGTTCAGATACTTTGAGGACCCAAGATGCATCAACTTACAAAATTTGATGATTCTAAGCCAATTAGTACCTGAAAAATATTTGATCAGGTCACAGTGACCTACTTTTCAGTCGACGTACTCCAAGCACCCAAGGTGCATCAACCAACAAAGTTTGATGACTCTAAGCAAATTAGTACCCAAAAATATTTAAATATAGCCATAAAATTCCAAAAGTAGGTCAGAGTGACCTACATATAAGTTGACATACTCCAAGAACCAAAGATGCATCAACTGACAAAGGTTGATGATTCTAAGCCAATTAGTACCTGATATATTTAAATAAAGCCATGAAATTTCAAAAGTAGGTCACGGTGACTACTTTTCAGTCAACTTACTCCGAGGACCCAAGATGCATCAACTGACAAAGTTAGATGATTCTAAGCCAAATAGTACCCAGAAATATTTAAATATAGCCATAAAATTTCAAAAGTAGGTCACAGTGACCTATTTTTCAGTCCTTGTACTCCGAGGACCCAAGATGCATCAACTAACAAAGTTTGATGAATCTAAACACTAGTACCCGATATTTATTATATTTAATTATAGCCAGATAAATTGAAAAGTAGGTCACAGTGACCTACTTTTAAGTCGACCTACTTAGAGGACCCAAGATACATCATCAACTGATAAAGTTTGATGATTCTAAACCAAATAGTACCCAAAATATTTAAATATAGCCATAAAATTTCAAAGTAGGTCACAATGAACTAGTTTTCAGTTGACGTTTTTTCGAGGACTCAAGATGCAGCAACTTACAAAGTTTTATGATCATAGGCCTTAAAATGTCCAAAATATACCTCTAAAATGCTTTGAACTCGAAAGCCTGCAAAGTTCAAAAAGTAGGTCACTGTGACCTACTTTTTAATAGATATGTTTTATTGCTCCAAGATGCATCATCTTACAAGATTTAATGATTCTAAACCTCTCAGTATTCGAATGAATGACCTTAAATATTTTGAAAAAGATTAACCATAAAATTCAAAAAGTAGGTCAAGGTGACCTACTTTTTAGTTGATGTACTCTGAAGACCCAAGATGCATCAACTGACAAAGTTTGAGGATCATAGGCTTTAAATTATTCAAGATATGCCTCAAAATTATTTTGAAAAAGAATGACTGCAAATTTCAAAAAGTAGGTCACTGTAACCAAATTTTGAGTCAACATGATATGAGGTCCTTAGATGCATCAACAGACAAGATTTGATGATCCTAGTCCTTATAGTAAGCAAAATATCAACATTTTAATAAAATGTAATTTTTGGTCAACTTTGAAGTGACCTTGAGACCACGCCCTTTGCCCCAGGGTGATGCCTTGAACAAATTTTAATCTTCAACATATCTTGTTCTTTTGTGTACGTTTGGTGATAATCTGCCCAGTGGTTCTTGAGAAAAAGATTTTTTAGCAATCAGTACTTTTGATTTTATTTACCTAATTATCTCCCCTTGTTTAAGAATCACAACCCTAGTTTTAGTATTTACGGGAGCCCTTGGGCCAAGGATACCCTGTGACAAATTTGACAATAATTGGCCAAGGGGTTCTTGAGTTGTGGCCCGTATTCTAAGTTTACGCACATGGCACAAATGGCCATAGCATTAGCTCTTTGAGCCTTTGGCTCAGAAGAGCTAAAATTGAGAATATTTCAATATTTTCTGCTCAATTCTGAAATTTTCCATAATGACATCATAAACAATACATACACATTTTACTTCTCAGTCACAATGTCAGGTTGGAAATCAGGCTGCACTGCTTTAGACAGAGACTCTGCATATAGATCTAATCTTTGTGTCATCTAAATGTAAAGGTATACAAATTATACAACATGTAAATCAAAAGAGAATGGAAATGTTTCTCCATTCTCTGTAGAAACTCTGCACAAACAAAATTAAGTTCAAACTAGAAATATGTCCATAGGACATGAACGCCCCATCTAAGGTTGATTAGTAATGTAACATGAAAATGTGTATTAATGTTTGAAGTTTGATGAAAATATCTTGAAAAGTTTCTTTAAAAGTGAGTTTTATACAAAATAAATAGTAAAGTCAAAGGTCATTAAGAAGGTCAAGGTAAAAAAAGATTGGACATAGTAATAAATTCTCACTATATTATGTATCAGCCCAAAGGCTTGCATAAAAATAACTTGAAAAGTTACTTTGAAACTGAGGTAAAGGCAAAATTAGGTCAAGTAAGGTCAATTTCATAAATTTGGGCACAGTTAATTAGTTCTCACCAATGTGTATCAGTGTATGTGTTTTGGCAAAAATATCTTGAATTGATCTTTGAAACTGAGCTAAATGGAAATTTAAGAAAAGTGAGGTAACTGTCAAAAGGAAGGTCTCAGTCAAAATATTTTGATGCAGTTCAATGCCCATCTTCTTCAGTCCACTCTGCTCCCCAAAAACAGTTTATGAGTGGGCCAAAAACCCTTGGCTAGCAAAGATGTTCAATACAAATCACCAAAAGTTTAACAAAAACTTCTTGAATTATTTCTTTGAAACTGAGCTAAACACAAAGCGTGTCGGACAAACAGATGGAAGGACGGAAGATGGACTTGACAAACACTATATGCCCCAGCCAAAGTCATTCATAAAATAAATTTCACAAGGAAATATGCCGTCAGGAATCCACAAACAATTCGCTTACTCTGAAACACCATTTGTCCTTGATCTGACGACAAAGGTTGAGGTCCATCTCTGCTACTAACAGTCCATCTCTAGTCCTGGATAAGCCCTGTAATACACAAATATGTGTAGTAATGCTTATGGAACATTCGAAAAATGTCATGCATCCTCAACTTACTGAGAATGCACTATAGCAGTAGTAAAGAACATACAATCAAACATGTATGTTGATTCAAAGTTGGGCCAAATAATTTTGGCATTATTATATATGATAATTACTATTTATAATAAATACAATGAGCAAATATGAGTTACTCTTCATTTCACACCAAGAACTTTGTTAATTGTAAGAGTCTACTCACTGGTGTTCTACTTCCATCAGGTGCTGCAGCATAGCTAGATCCTAGAGAATAAAATATACCAGGGCAATTTTACATACATGCAATGTTCTGTTTCAAAAAGGCAGAGAATTACCTTATGGACATTCATATGGGCGCATCTACATAATGTGAGAATTACTACATATATCTGACATTTTCCAGGAAAAAAATCTGTTGAACAGTGTAACATAGTTAACTCAATATAAAGTAAATTAATGTATATATACATCACATTAAACTTTATTATTATATGATTGAATAACTCCAATCTCTCTGATTGGCTGAGATCCAACAATGTTAGAAAAATACTACATTATATTGACCTGCATGTGATCCTCCAGGTCAATATAAGGAATTATTTATTCTGCATTGAACCAAAAATAGACAGGGAAATTCCAAATTGATGCAAATAGTTTTGGAAAGTTATTTCACTTGCACCTGACATCCACTAATATGAATATAACATTAAGGTACATAGATTCTTGGGTGAGGGGTTTGGGGGGAGGGGGGGGGGGTTGCAGGAGGCCTGCCCCTCTCCCCACCTTTTGAGAAAGTTAAGTTTTAATTTAAATTTAAAGGATAAAAAATTTCAATGAAAGCCCCCCTCCCCTTGAAAAGTTTATTGATCTTTACATCCCACCAAATAAAATTTTGATTTGGGAGAATTCTTTTCCTTGGGGGGGGGGGGGGGGGGGGGGGGAGGGGGGGGGGGGCTAGTCAAAGATTTGTTTTCAGGTAACTTGTCAATTTTTTTATTTTTAATGCCCTCTTTTTCAAAATCAATCCTATATATGTGCATGACATTTATTTTTTCTATATATATCACCTAAACTAAAATAAAAAATTCCAAAATAATACAACTGGTTTTTTAACCCCATTTCTCTCATTATGTTCAGCTAGTACTTCAGTAGATGTGAACAAGTAAGATGGCACGGATTGCTTAATGAGTGTGTGTCATTTAATCATTGAATCATATAATAAAACAATTATTGCTTTTTTTTGGTCAATACGATGATTTAACCACCTTCGAAGTACAATATTCACCTCACCTTCCGGGCTCAGTGAATATTGTACTCCTCAAGTGTCTAAATCATTGTATTGACCTCAAAAACCAGCAAAAATTGTATAATATTTGTAACTCATAAAATATGAGATTGATATAATCAATGAAAGTATTTCTGTTTTCATACTATTTGATACCTGTTGTAAAGTACATGTATACATATCAGTATGGGAAATAATGTAAATAACCTACCATAGAAGTGGCCAAAATCTTTATGGGCTGAAACATGTACAAAGTAAAATTAAAAATTCCATATATGTAAAGTATACTATATCTATACAGATAATGCAAGAACAGAGAACAGAAAATTTTTAATTTACAAATCCAGAAAACTCTTATTCATTATCTTGAATGCATCCAAGATCTAAGCCATGACCTGTGAGAAAATCAAATTGATACAAGAATTTCTATTGTTTTACCTGGTTTTCCATCACCAGAGGAAAACTCATTGGGAAACAACTCCTACAATTGATAAAATGTTAAATTATTGTGTCATCAAATAAAATTACTACATATAACCCAGTAAACAAACTTCAGCACTTTAAAAATTGGCTAAAGAGTGCTTGGGAGATCTGCCTCCTAGTAAATGGGTGTCTAAAACTACATGTATTAGGAATAATATTAGTACATGTAAGTACATGTACATGTATACATTTAAAAGTGTTCCCTTTAAGTACAAAATATAACTACAGTAAAACTCGGTTATAGCAAAGTCATGGGGACCTGTGAATTTAGTTCACTATAGCCATAATTCATTATGTACTTCGGGATTGAGTATTCCGGGAAGAACCGGTATGAAATACAAAAGTTACCTTCCAGTAAAAAAGTTTTGGGATGAATTGAATTTCAAATATACATACATACTTACAAGAAAATGTCAGATCAATATCCTAAAGTTGAAATCTTTAAAAACTTGCTATAAAGGATGTAAAAATCTGTTTATTTTAACCTCTAGTGGACACAAAATCAGTTTGCTATATCTGTAAAATTTGCTTTACCCAAGTTTGTCATATCAGGAAAATTTTACAAGGATTTGATAAGAATTTTGCCGGGCATTCAAAAAAAAGGAAAAAAAAATAATAATAAAAAAAATTGCTATATTTGTAAATTCAGTATATTGATGTTCATACTAAATGAGTTTTACATATTTTACAAGCATTATAAAAGAAAATTCAAAGTGAGAGTCATGTGACTTTTTTCAGATGTAGTGGAATTTATTTTCTTTCAGACTGAAAAGATAAGGATAGTGCTGATAGGGCTATGTACATGTAGTACTCTGTTATTCTTGTACATGTATTATACCTTTGATTGAAGCTGTTCATTAGACAAAAGCCAATGAATTGAGTTTTATAACCGGAAAAAATGTACCATGAATATTGTTTCTTGTGAGACAGGTATTAACTAAGGAATGCTATGAATGTTCAGATTATTATCTCTATCAACCCCCCACCCCCACCCCACCCCCCAAATCACACCAAAGCTTAAATTTAAATGAGAAAAATTTCAAACTTTGCAAAAAACACTCACTGTTCCCACTCTGTTGATGGCACAGGTGAAGTAACTGTTTGCAATAGCAGCACACCTGGCTTCAATAGGCCACATGGGTTCACTATACAGAAGCAAATTTCACAGTGATGTACATGTATTCAAAGAAAAACTTTTTTCATTTAAAAATGAAGATGTGTATATGAAACACTGATGCCCCTGTTATGCAGCTCATGGCCGAGGTTAAAGTTTTTCAAGTAGGTCAAACTCCAACATAAAGGTCATGAGGTCAAAAATATTGGTACCCAAAGGTCTTGTCACAAGGAATGCACATACATGTATAAACTTCAAAAGTCCTAGAACCAACCTGAACCATTTTAAAGTTATGGCAAAGGTAAAAGTTTTCAAAAGTAGGTCAAACTCCATGGTCAAGGTTATGAAGTCAAAAAAGCTGGTATACCCTAAGAAAGGTCTTGTCACAAGGTATACACATGTGAAATATGAAAGCCCTAGCACTAATGGTTCAAAGTTATGGGTAAGATTAATGTTTTTGTTGACAAACGGACAGAGAAACCAAAAAACTACATGCCCTCCGATTACAGAGGCATAAAAAAGACTGAAATGAAATAAAATCTACAAGCACTTTTGACTTGAGTTAGTTGTGGCAAAGCAAAGTGCTTGTTCACCATTAATACCTTAGAGCTCCAACAGTTGCCGAGGGATTGAAGACAATTTCTGCTCCATTAACTCCATACATCATCCAGTTCTGGGGATGGTGACGACCAAAGCAGATATTAATAGCAATTCTTCCTGTGATGATTATTAATACAATGGTAGGAATTAAGCTCAAATAATTCAATTATTCACTACTGCACCTTAAATGATTAACATGTTTCATCTCTATGAATACATCTATATACCGGTGCAATAATCTTGCTTACCAAACTGTGTCTGAAACACTTTGTGCCCTGTATTTCCCTCCATGTAGTAAGTAGACTGAAATTAATGTAAACAAACTGCTGATCTTTAACATACAAATCATATTTTCTCATGTGACTGATTTCAAACAGAGTATTCCCCTTTTCTTCCACAGAGACGAGAACAAGAATGTGGATATTAAATTACCTGATATAAATTTTTACCTCATTAAAATCCCCAATACGAGGTATGTGGTTTTTCCTTGATTTTCCAAGGTATTTGCCAGTGTTGGAAATTACGACTGCAAACAGTGAGAAAAATTGTAAATATCAATAGATAATCCTCACCCAAATTCTCAAGCTAGTATCATTCAATATTGAATTGCTTTTTTAAGTAATTTTCTGCAAATAAAGATTATGCAGCATCTTTAGTGTTGTGTTTTGACTAAAATGATTGTAGTACCTGCAGTATTGGCTAAAACATCCCCATGCTCTTCATCACGTTCTAAGATCGAGGACACAATTACCATGTTGTGTTTTTTGGCCAACTACATGTTCAAAGAAAATTTGACAAGTTTGTTTAAACATAAATGTATTTTCTTCCATGTTCTTATTTTAAGAGATGCAAAAGGTTTTCAATAGGTCTTAAACAAAATGTGATGATAAAATATATTTTTAATGCTTTATTTTTGAAAATGTTTACTTATTAAATAGAGTAATAAACTAAAGTAAAATATATAGAATATTGACTTTCCAAATTTCCAAAATCTGTAGCAAATAATTAGTTGTCCTTCAGCTAATCCACATGACCTTGATCTGATATGCAGCTTTGACCTTCCAAGCACATAGCTACCTTTGCACAAATCAACAAAGTGCATATACATCATGTTCAAAATAAAAGGCCCATGGGCCATACAGCTAATCTGAGTCACTATGGCCCTACCGTTCTTCATCATCAGATTTTTTTCCTATATGTCCCTATATAAAAACTTTGATCATTTATTGTGACACCACACTACCCCCGGGAGACATGAATTGTACACTACCTAAAGATTCTTCCATATAATGACTGTTCATGCTATTGCTGTTCTTGAGAAAATTTTTAAAAGAATTTTTTCCTATATATTCCTGTGTAAAACTCTGAATGCCCCCAAACCTTCTTTTCATTCCATTCTGGCTGTGCATCTGCCTTCAACTTGACCAAACCAAATTCTCTTTTATGAAAGTTCAAAATCATGGCCAAGAGTAAAGATCTTATTGCTTTGTAATTTTTAAGACTGTACATAATTTTTTTTAGTCATGCCTTACCACTCTTTAGTTATATTTCTTCAGATATATGTCTGTATTACAAGTCTTCTAGTCAGAAAATAAATCATACACATCTTTCCTATAGGTAGAAGACAAGTAACTAACCCACCTCTTGCATCAATTTTGTTGTTGCTCCTGTTTCTGCAGGTTCCGCAAAATCACACCAAGGATGCTTCTCTCGTGTGCAAAATGCAAAAGGCATAGCTGTAAAACATGAAGGCATAGCTGTAAAACATAAAGACTTAGCTGTAAAATATAAAAGCACAGCTGTAAAGCATAAAGGCAAAGCTGTCAAATATAAAGGCATAGCTGTAAAACATAAAGGCCTTGCTGTAAAACATAGAGGCCTAGCTGTAAAAAAATAAAGGCATAGCTGTAAAGCATAAAGGCACAGCTGTAAAATATAAAAGCATAGCCGTACAGCTTTAAAAAGGCAAAGATGTCAAATATAAAGGCCTAGCTGTAAAACATTAAGGCCTAGCTGTAAAACAAAAAGGACAAGATCACATGCATGCTTAAAATTTTGAAAAGATTTACAGAAGAATATGCTTTTCTTTTCCAATTTGATATTCTAATGTCACATTGAAAGATTTCTATAAATGTAGAGACATACTCCATGCTTCCTGAGTACAAATCACATTGACTCCACATTGTGCTGCCACTTCAATTATCTCAGATATTCTGTTATGGAGGGACTCAATCTGGAAAAGTAAATATTAAGAAATGTTTTACATATTTTACAATAACATAATAACATGCATTGGAATTATCAGATGCATGTAAATGCAACATATATTTCTACATTATCAGAACGTCAGGGGTCCTGAGTCCACTCATGAATGTTGAATCTTGACAAACTTCATTCCATATTTACAGGCTTGAATTTTTTATTGAGAAGCGCCAATCAGATTGGGGCTTTCATAAGTAGACATACACGGAGAGAAAGCAGTTTACATCTCAATGTAACTAAAAGGCTTAAAATTAGTCAAGAGATAAGAAAAAACATGGGTAATCAGAGATTACAGAGCTCACCTCAGCGAATGTTGTCTTTAAGTAAGGCAAAGTCCCACACTAAACTAATAATCTTGGAGTGTGCATCCCTAGATGCAACATTTATGCAATTTTGGTCTGATAGGGTTTGCAGTTACTTGGGAATAGACTTATCTGAAAACTTAAAACTAGTCACTCATCCAGAAAATGTAAGTCAAATCCAGCATCTGAAGCAAGTTTGAGATTGTTCGTCCCTTGATGCATCATCCATGCAAGCTTGGTTCAGATAGGCCTTATAGTTACTTGGAAATGAGATCTGCTCCAAAAACTTTAACCTGGTTACTCATCCAGAAAATGTAGGTCAGATCCAGCATCCGAAGCAAGTCCAGTAGTGTGCATCCTTAGATGCATCATCCATGCAAGTTTGGTTCAGATAGGCCTTATGTTACTTGGAAATGAGATCTGCTCCAAAAACTTTAACCTGGTTACTCATCCGGAAAATGTAGGTCAGATCCAGCACCTGAAGCAAGTCCAGTAGTGTGAATCCTTAGATATATCATCCATGCAAGTTTGGTCAATACAGGGTTTATAGTTACTTGGAAATGACATCTGCTCCAAAAACTTTAACCTGGTTACTCATCCGGAAAATGTAGGTCAGATCCAGCATCCGAAGCAAGTCCAGTAGTGTGAATCCTTAGATGTATCATCCATGCAAGTTTGGTCAATATAGGGTTTATAGATACTTGGAAATGACATCTGCTCCAAAAACTTTAACCTGGTCACTCATCCGGAAAATGTAGGTCAGATCCAGCATCCGAAGCAAGTCCAGTAGTGTGAATCCTTAGATGTATCATCCATGCAAGTTTGGTCAATATAGGGTTTATAGATACTTGGAAATGACATCTGCTCCAAAAACTTTAACTTGGTCACTCATCCGGAAAATATGGGTCAGACTCAGCATCCGAAGCAAGTCCAGTAATGTGCATCCTTAGATGTATCATCCATGCAAGTTTGGTCAATATAGGGCTTATAGTTACTTGGAAATGAGACCTGCTCCAAAAACTTTTACCTGCTCCAAAAACATTAACCTGGTCATTCTTTAGCTGAAATTGCAGCATCTGAAACCTTGACTGGTACAATGAAACACACTAGAAGCATCCTCCATGCATCTCTGACTAATATAGGCCATAGAAGTACTTGAAAAGAAAACTGCTCCAAAAACCTTAAGCTGGTACGCCGACGCCGAGGGTATTACATAAGCTCCCCCAACTTTGTTGAGGTGAGCTAACAATCTAGATTTGTAATTTCACAAAAGATGTAGCTGCATTCAGCTTGTAAAATATCAAATGATGTTTGTCAGGGGGTCCTACATCCATGAGAGGACTCAGGATCCCTGACGTTGTGAGGATAATATTACTATATAATAAAATATGCTCAAAATATTTCTTAAGGACATAGGCAACATAGTTTGAACTTTATTGTCTTTTTCCCTGGAGTTGAAGAGTTCCAATACTTAAAGGAATTGTGTGCTACATTTGTATGTATATATGTACTATTGTACACTTCTAAAACAAGTTTGGATGAACAAAACATCTAGAATATGTGTTTAGTAATTTTTGTGTATTTTTCTTTGAATTATACAAGAATTTTCATCAATTGATATCTTTTCAAAACCCCTGGTAATGCATGCTGATTTTTTGTCGACGAACATCTGATGGCACTATAATCTTAAATTAAGAATATCTTGAAAAATTATCAGTAGGTAAGGTACGTTGCATATGTCCTTAAGTATGATATTCTTTTCATACTCCCTTGAAATTATGTAAAACTGAAACAAGAACCCCCCCCCCCCTCCCCCTTCAATTCTCCAAGCTTGACTGTACAAATTGTTACTGCATGCAGGGAAATGTTTGCCCCTTTGCCCTTGTTACAAATGAGCGAATTTAGAACAGGGTGAATTCAAAGAAGACAGCAGTATCTCTTAACTGTGACTGCAGGGGTACTACTAGAACCCTAGAGAACTCTAATGTCTGAATGTCTAATGTCTAATCTGAAACAGGGCAGAATGTTTGCAAGTGTGAAAGGGCCAAAATTAGAGATGAAAACTTTCTCCAAATATGGAGGACACCTTGACCTGATTAAAACTGAATGAATTTTTCATATAAATCAATGCATTAGTTCAAAACAGTTATGTAAAATCTTGCTGGGATATGACATGAACCTGTTGTGGGATTGGTGCAGTGGTCGGTAAGACTATCTGGTTCTGAATCAGTCCAACTCGGACAATTCTTGGTGGGCGCATGCTCTCCTCAGCTGCTGTGAATGCATAGCCCTTCAGCTCAAAGTTCTTCTTGTCTGCAAGATTTTTAACCTCTGAAGAAAAATCTAATGCCCTGAAAAAATACACAAACACGTGTTATTGTTTGTAAACACTGTGACGTAAATATTTTTTAAATCACGTGATTTAAAACGCGCATTGTCGAAAAATGGAAGGGAATAGGGAATGCAGAGCTCTGATAATATTCTGATATTAACTGTAAGTTCAATTTACCTATCCCAATTGTATGCAAGATAACCGACCATTGCAAGTGTGCCAATAACGTGGCAGCATATCTAGATAAGGCATCCTGTGTTTAAAATATATTTTACCTTTCTTTGCATTGGGAAAATCTTGCATAGACTGCCCATAATAATAAATTTTGTATGCCAGTTTTTACCTTAACTCCTTTCCATATAGAATTCTCCTCACTTCAGCTAATTCTTGTGGTGGAAGATGCTTTTCCAGCGACTTTTCAACGCTTTCAAATTCTCCAGACATGTTGCGTTTCAGACGTTAAATGCAGAAAACAACCTTGACCTTGTGCATTTTCAGGGAAGATAACTCTAACTTCGACACAGAATCTATTATTATAGTTGTTTCCATTTCGACAGGTGTTGCATGTGATGAATCAAGCAGGTAAAAAAATAAATGAAGTGGCAGAACAACTCCTATCAGAAGTGAATACGGTGTACAGCAAAACAGGGAAATGTATGTGTAGCAATATTGAACAAAAAATATGTCTTCAACAAAAACTGAACCCATGCAATAGCTAAAATTATTTCAGAAAAAAAATTCATAAATAAATGAAAAAATATATAATTTCTTTTCAGTAAGCGATGAACTGCTGTCAGCGTAAGTAAAAGATAAAATAGAATTAATCATGAACTAGTACTGTAGTACGATTTTAATTTGTTAAAGGAGCCTTTTTAATGTTTTTAGAAATAAAAAAAAACGCCTTGTGTCACTGAGTAACAAACAATTTTGCTATATCAATATACAGGTTGAATTTTGTATTCCAAGCTCCACTCCTTCCAGCTTTGGATATAATAGACCACAGAAATGTGACCACCATCTCATGTCCAAGTGGACGAAAAGTTTATCAGGTAACTTAGCATTACAAATTGCATACTGTCAGTGTTGATGTGTCCATGCATGCAATCTCTTCATGTATCACTGATAATTTCAGAACTCCAGTGAAATGATTGCTAAACAAAATCAGTTACAGATATTGGTCGGTACAGTGAAACTTGTCTAATCTGGATGTTGTGTATTCTGAAATCTTGTCTAATATGATGTATAAGTTAATTAAGTCAATCCTTTCAGTAATTTCAATTGTTTGAAATGTTGTCTATAATCCAGAATGTTACTCTAACAAACAGTACTAATTATAAAACAAAATCGGTTAAAATATTGGTTGGTACAGTGAAACTTGTCTATTCTGGATGTTGTGTATTCTGAAGTCTTGTCTAATAGGATGTATACATTAAGTCCCTTTCAGTATTTCAATTAAAAATGTTGCCTATAATCCAGAGTGTTTTCTAATGGCTGGCCAATTTCTATGGAACTAGTGATGTCCAGATTAGACAAGTTTTACTGTATCTATATTCTTCAGTATTAATGTATTTTATGTTTAGGTACTGGGGACATCAGGTACCCCTTATATCTGCCTACTGTCCAGTACCTACTGCTCCTGCCCAGCCTACAGATACTCAGGTACTGACTCAAGTAACTCGGGTACTGATTTAAGTAACTTCAGTGCACACAGAAAAAAATTATGATTTTTGAAAAAATCCATTTGCTTTGTGGGAAAATTCACGTAAGAACAGTCCTCTATTTTAAAGTATAAAATTCTGATTAAAAAAAAAAACACCCCAGCTAAACAAAAATCCATTTCTTTAGTGTTGAAATGAGATGACACTTTCTTATGACAGATCTCACTTTGAAACTTGAATGACAGGTAAGGCCTTTCCAATTTTTTTTTCTCTGTGTAGCATCCACCTATCTTTCAAAATCCTACCTGCCTGTTCTTAAAGAAAAAAAAAAAAAAAATTGAACACAGACTTTATAGTCATAAAAACAGTCTCATTCAACTACTGGTATTTTATTTCCTTTATTAATCTGTTTTCCTCATGGAAAGATCTATTCCTTTGCAAAATCTGATTGACGAATTCTACATAAATTAATATAGAAAGAAATTGACAAAAAAGTTTCCACCAAAATGATTAATTTCAGGACTACTGATTTTGTTTTGATCTGGGATGTGAAAAACCCAAGGCACATGTGGACGCTAAACGTAGAAAAAACTTGGAATGGTCTAATTTTCATATCTGAGAAATGAGTGCAGATACTGATTTTAGAATTCTTGTATATATATATATATATATATATATATATATATATATATATATATATATATATATATATATATATATATAAGCATACTTTTTCTTTCAGTTTTACTTAAAGATGATCATATAATGGTTAGTGTGGCTTTTTATAACATTTGATAATACCTTGTTTACCTTTAAAACATACAGTACATATTGAGGGTATTTTTATTTAATATGATTAATATTTCCTTTTTTTTTTCAGTGTAAACATGTGCTTGCAATAAAACTTGCAGAGGCCATGAACTTAAGCAAATCTCAACAAGTGTCTGACCAGGAGATGACCAATCTTATCAAGAACTTGGAATAAAAATTTACTTCTGATGAGAAGGACTTGCACATTACATGGATATATTCTCATCTGTGAAGCAACAATATTGTTGTTGTTAAAAGTTGCATTTTTTGCCATTTAAATTCTGTTATTTGAAACTTTATTTTTTCCATTAAAGGAATTAGAAATATTTTTAACTTATATGATGACTGACAAGGAAGAAATGTTGAGATGTGGGTTTGCACATATTTATGTTATCAAGTGCAGAATGGACATGATTATTTGTTCATAAAGTGAGCCCTTTGCTAAAGCATTGGATGTGGTCAAGGGCCATCTCATAAGGACACAATCTTCAGACATGTCTTTGAGGAATTTGGTGCCTCTTGTCGCCTTAGTGTGTCAACGTGTCAATATTAAATCTAGAGGTAAAGTCTGGTGAGAGAACTTTTATCCAACATCTCTCCCTAACATAAATTTCTGAGTGAAAACAAAAAGTCATAAAACATGATTATTTATTAGCAAATTATGCCAAACAAATTACATATTGTTTACATTGACTAGACTCCATTTAAACAGAAGTTGCTTCTCAACACTGCAGCAGTACGCCTCCTTACTTTCAAACATGACATCATGTTTACATTTATAAGGAAGGCATGGTACTCCAGAAAAAAAACACTTTATACTGTAATTACCGTTTCATCTTATAAACATACATGTACATAACTGATCTTTTAAAAATCATAATTGATTCATAACTAAACATTGTTTGAAGTGAACTAGGTAGTGTCTTAACAATTAATAAAAAATTCGTGTTTTTAATTTTTTAAAAAATACGTAGAATCGTGCTCCTTTTAACATATTTTTGTAATTAAAATATCTTGTATTAAGGTCCTAAATGCCATAGTGGGAACATTAATTACATATTTATTGTTTTAAAATTCTTACCAAGTAATTCCTATCATCTAACATATATGTATAAACATAAAAAGAAAATTTCAATGAGATCAAAGTACTTTGCGTATATATACATGTATGATGCAAAATATAAGTACATAAACCACAATACTGCACCATTATTAATGTTTCAAGAAAAAAAATAAAGATAGTATTTCTTCATATACATCTTTGACAGACATCTTTGCACATTGCAGTTTAACCATTTAATTTTTGCTAGCTACTAGTATACAGTGCCTATATTTAATCTACACAGCAACTTCGAGTACACAAGACAAATTTAAAATTCACATTGAATAATTCATATAATTCAACATTTATAACATACACTTTAGTTAATTTAAAAAAAAAAAACCTGATGTAACCAAAAAAAAAAAAAAAATACAACCAATGGTGATTGATACCAAAATCTCACAAAGAAAATTAAACATTTAAGTTGGATACAGTAGATTTTAGAAAAAACTACTTTGTAGTTTTGGTCGTACAACTCACCAACACATCTACAGGAGTACATTTAATCATGATTGTATGAGCTATTAAAGCCAATTTATTAAGGAGATTAATACTGATCAACTTGGTGCTATAATCTGTACAAAACATGTTTGGATTTATAGCAAACTGACCATCTGCAGAAGATGCAACATATACGTTCAAACCTGGATTTCAACAGGTCAGCATTTAAAAGTCAGTTGAAATACTTCTATAGATATTGAAAGTAGAAGTACTTGTTTTAAATAATACTCATAAATAATATGAAGATAATACTGAATATACATGTTTTGAGATTTACAAACATAAATCATACGCTGGGACTAAATTACAAAGTGATCGCTACTGGAAGCCTCCTATAAACAAAATGTTAAATTAGTATGGGCACCATTATTAGCCATTTGTCAAATCAGTGTTATCAAACTGAACTCGAGTCTTGATAAAAGAAATAGTCCTACATCAGGTGCAATTCTAAAATTCTCTCCCTTCACATTACTAAAGTAAATGATAAATTGTTTTCCTTGATATCAACTGACTTAATTTTTTTTTTTTTTAACCTGCACACACAGAATATTGAATCAAACCAAATCTGCTTAGAAAATATCCCTTATTTTGACACAAATATAAACACTGCATTTTGGAAAGCATGAATTGTACAGTCCATTGAACTTCACAATTTTTTTTCTTTGTAACTGTTAACATAACCTCCATTCCTTCAGCACTCTTAATTATTCTATTTTTTATAAATTTCAAGACAATCACCTTAAAAATTAAACAGACTACAATTTTTCCCACTATTTAAGTACAGTATATCATGAGCTGTTGGAATACATCCAAGATAAATAATAAGGAACTCTGACATTATCAACCTATGTTATACATAAAATATTATCAGAGTGTTTAAAGATACAGTTCAACTTCAGTATCTCAAATACTACTATCTTGCATACCATGGATATGTGGGATAAAGTTGGAAGACCCAACTACTTTTTAACCTCAAAATCTCAATTTCTCAGATAAAGTAACTCGTCGCTTTTCCCAAACCCATCAAGTTCAAGATGACAAGGTTTTACTGTATCTTATAACAGAGTTTGCTATCTTGAGCTGGATTGAAAACAAATGTACTATATAATTTAACATTAATGCTACATATTAAATGAAAAATAAACAACATAAATAGCAAAAGCTTTTCCCCTCAAAAAGTGTTTTTACATGCATTTCATCATAAAAGCACAACATGCAACCTTTCTGTGGCACATAATTAAAACTGGATGGAATTAATTAGCTTAATTGTTAGGATATATACACACATAAAGTACTGTAGAGTATCAACTGTATCAGACACCTATGAACATTAAACCAACATTTCCCCCCTCCTCCTTTCCCCTCCAAAAAAAAAAAAAACCCACAAAATATTTTTTTCTAAACACCAATATCTTAGAATTATTAGCGTTTAGCTTCATACTATACATTAAATGGAAGACAACATAAAATCACGGGGTAAAATAATTCACACGTTCATGCAACTCTGAAGATAACTACAGTAGCTAAATCCTAAAGCAAGGCTCATGCAGTAATTGAGTAGAAAATAAGCATGAATTTTATGAAACAGGAATAAACTTAACAAAAAGAAATTTCAGCTGGTTTTCAATCTCAACAAATATTTGAGACAGTTAGAAAAAAAATTACAACTTAACAATTAAATCCAGTAACAAAATTGGTCCCAGTAAAATAAGAAGAAACAATATTATGCAAGTACAAATCTCAAAAATGATCACGGTAGAAAGGTAAAATCTGGAATGAGTACAGAGAAAAATAGGGAATAAATGAAAGTAAATTAGGAGTCTGGGTGTTTAGTAACTTCAAAATATCCACAAATTTTAACAATAAAGCAGCACATAGAATGGATATTACAACAGTTTTAATACAATCAACACTCTTTTGTTTAAGAAGTCTTGTGTGGATTCCTAAATATATGTTGAAGTCCTCATTCTTCGTGTGTTTTGGTGTTATGCTTCCATCCTATGCATATTCTGGTATTATGACCCAATCCTACGTGTGATCAGAAGTTTTTGCGTCATGTTCAAAGTGTTTGTAGATTGAGGTGACGTAAGCCATAACAGCCTGCCAGTCTGGACGCTCCATGGCAACCATGTCTCCTATGTTCTGTAAAAATGTAAACATGATAGAAAACCTACACAAGAACAATGTATTACCAGTAATACCACTAATTTCCACTGCAGAGGATACCAATAACCTTGAAATGTTACATAATTATCAAAGTTTCTGACACAATATTAAATTGTTCTAAATCATACAGTGTTATTCCTTTTTTCATTCTGCAAAATAGAATTTTCCCTATTACAGTGTTCTTATAATATCATGATGCAGAGCTGTATCATGTATATTAGTATCATGATATAGTGAATATCATCTGCAATAAGCCTCATAAAAACTTTTACAACATACCAGTATAGATGAGGAGATACCAACTTCCTCAGCAGCCTCAAAGGCAAGGGTAAAATTCCTTCTCTAAAAAGTAAATAAACAAATAAGTTACTCGAATGGTCATGTTTTAAGAATTTCAGTTCTCCAGCAGAAATGATTTTTGTCATGCATATGCATATGAAGAGATTGACTATGGCTGGAAAAATGTCTACGTAAATTCTTCTTTATTCAACTCTTTATAGAGAATTTTTTCTTAGAATAGAAGTAATTGATAACTAAAGAAATGTACGATTGATGCAGTGATCGGAATAAGGAGAAGGCTAAGTGCGACAATGGCACGTTCCAAGTCGGTGTGAATGTGACGCTTCTAAAATTAATGCGCCACATAGAGATATATGTTTACAAAATGTCAAAAAATTTATATACATGTACATGTACCTTGTCCTCAGTGTTCAACTCTGCAAACGGAATTTTGTTTGGCAGGTAGCTGTGGAGAAGAGCACAGAACGCCAGGCCATCATTCCAACTGCTACTGAAGTTGGTTATGTCAACATTCTATCAGAAAACCAAAGAGAAGAAAAATAAATCATTTATCATACAGAAAACATATAAGCAACTCCAACTTTATTGAACCTTTGCTTTAATTTATTTATTGTGAGAGCATATTTCTGAAAAAAAAAAATCCTCTGTAACTTCTTGAACTCCTGAACTTACACTGTATTTGACTGTCTTCTGCTGGCACCACTTAAGCAAAGCATTGCGTTTAGATCCACCCATCTGTTTTGCTAAAACAGCCAAAGGATCCTTTGTACCTGAATCCTTTCTCTCAGGTTCCATACTGGGAAAAAGGAAATTAGAAAATGTTTACTAAGATTCAATTACATTTTTTTCCCTAACCAAACAAAGGTATTTATGGAAATAACAAAGAAATAAGGATATATTTGTTTTTTCATTTTGCTAAGTTGTTACAATTTCAAATGATATGAAAAACTCCTCATATGCAAGTCCTAGATCAAAATTTATCCTATTCCCCTCTGTAAAGAATTTGAAGAGAAAAAATATAGAAACATTCTACCTCTTGAAAGAATTTGATCATTTTAATACTGTGCAAAACTACCGGTAGCTAAATGTTAATATGTGGAGAAAAAAAATTATTTTCCAAATTACTGACTCACCAGCAAAATTTACTCAAATGGAGAAAAAAAATTAAATTCTATATTATATCAGTATGGAAAGATGATCATGTTAATTTTACCGTTTACCACCTACCTTACACCACTGCTTCTCCTTTGTGAATTCCTGGACAATATTGAGGTCAGAGAAGGAGAGGAATCATTCTTAACTACAGGGGGTGCAGACTTTGGTGAGGAATCAATTGGAGATCGAGGTGGGTCAAAACTCAGAGACCCCACTGAATGTCTGAGTGGTGAGGGTTTCTCCACCTGTTTCCTGAGCACTGACCGCAGAGCCACCTCAGGGGATGCTGTGGAAGAAAAAACGGATGGATTTTCAGAGATGGGGGAGCTTGGGGATTTCACAATATTATGAAGACAGGGAATTCCTTGCACAGTTTCATCCATGGAACAGTCAGAATTTCTCCTGGAATTGCATGTACTGGAATGAATTGAGGAGCAACCACTTTTAACTTGTTCCTCAATGGAGCGTATTAAGGATTTCACAGACTGGCTTTGTGTCTTAGGGTCAGTGCGTTTGTCTCTCAAATTAGCTAACTCCCTTCCTACAGAATTCAACATCTTGCCTTTGAGTTCTGCAGATGACAATATGGATTTTGGAGTTCCATCTGTGCTTCTGTGGAGTTTAAGCCTGTCAACTTCTTCCAGTAACTTTTTATTTTCTTCCATCAGCACTCGACACTTTTCTCTGTACGTAGAATTTTCCTGTTGAACCTTTTCCATGTCTTCCTGTGTTTCTGCCCTAAAGTTATTTGCCACTAGAACTGCCACCTGCAAACATTGAACAAGTTAAGACATATGCATCAATCACAGTCAACTCATTAATGAGGGGCAACCGCTAGTAAAATTTTAAGCAAATCAAAAGATAAAAGATTACCAAGCTTTCTTAACTAACGGTATGCATTGTTTGTTCCTAATTATCACATGCAAAATCTCCTCACCTGTAGATCTTTCTGGAACTGAGTCCACTCCTCGGACTCTTCTGTGTGACGACTCTTCAGCTCCATTATCTCAACCTCCAGGGTTGCCTTCTCCTGCTGCAGTGAATGATTCTTCTCCTTAGCTTCGCTCAACTGAGACAGGAACTCATTCTTCTCTTCCAGGTGCTTATTGCAGTCATGCTTGAGCTGCTCTATGTGTTCACGTATATTGCTGAGCTCTGATGAGCTGTCTGTTTTGCCTTTCTCTAGTTTTTCCAACTGGTACTTCAAATCCTGTATTTCAGTCTTGGCATTGTTCTTGCACACTTTCAGTTCCTCTTCCTTGGCGTTGAACGTTTCCTTCACTCTACCAAGCTCACACTGAGCATGCTGGAGACTTTCCTTCATGTCTGCCAACTTACTTTCCAATTTGTCTTTCTCTTGCCTTGTGTTGTGAAGAAGTTCCTCCAATTCAGAATGACTGTCGGCTGCTTTGCAATACTGCTCTAATTCCTGAACTTTTGATTTCTCATTTTCTAACAAAGTCTTTAAATGGTCCATTTCAATCTTTTCATTATCAATGGTTTTCTTCTGATCAGAAATAGTTTTCTCACAAATCTCTTTCTCCGACTTAAGTGAGTTTAATTTGTCTTCCAGTAATTGCAATTTGTCTTTATTCGTATCACACTGCTCACCCAATTCCCTACACTCATTTTCCCTAGCATTCAGTATGTTCACAAGTTCTGTCTGCTTGCACAAAAATTCCTCTCGTTCATCCTGAGCACCTTTTAACAGTTCCAGCAATTGTTGCTCCCTTTCTGATCGCTCTGGAAAATTCCCACTGATTAGAAGAGATTTCAGCTGTTCAATCTGAACTCGACAGTGTTCCAATTTTTCGGTTTGAGTACACAGAGATTCCAAAAGCACATACTTTTGGTCAAGAAGTTTTTCATTTTCTGCATTCAGTTCATTGACACTTTGCTGAAGATCACCCAGCTCTTGTAGGGTTGCCTGCAGTTCCTCATTTGTACTGTAATGGGTCTCTTCCATCTGTAGGATGCGCTCTGTTAGACATGCCACGGAAATCTCGCTGAGAGCATCACTACTTTTGTTGCTTCCCTTTTCCCATTGGCTGTTTTCCAGTGAGAATTCCTGATCCGCCAAGGACAGAATGGGTTCTGAGGCTGCTGTGGAGGCCGGTCTGTCAGTTCCCTCCCCCTTACAACTTATGGACCGCCCCCCTCGGGCTTCATCTGTGTCCAGACTATCACAGCTCTTACTTTTTGGAAAACTACTTTCACTTGATTCCATGTTTTTCTTGGCATTCTTTTCTTGTAAAATGGACAATTTTTCAGTGTCTGTGATTTGTTCTACTGGGTAACCTAATTCTTGCAACTGTTCCCTTAGAAGTATATTCTCTTTCCTTAGGAATTCAAGTTCATCTTTGATATCATGTGTTGGTATTTGTTCCTTTAGACGTTTTGTTTCGTACCTGTATTTCTCTATTTCAGCTTTTCTATTTTCCGCAACTTGTATCAATTCTGAAATACGTGATTCTTTTTCTTTCTTGTCTTTCTCAAAGTTAGCCAGTAATTCAGCATTGTAAGCCATGACATCTGCTGGAGCAGACGTTCTTTTTCTAGAGGATTTATCTTTACTCACATTGTGAGAACTATGTGCACGTTTCATGGCTGAACTTTTCGCACTTGTGCTCCTTGGCGTCATTGCACCTGTCTTGTCCAACTGTTGTGTGCTAGAAGCTTTCCGAATTGTTGTCATCCCCCCAGATTTCACTGGTTTTGGTTTCAGAAAAACATTATCTTTTCCTTTTGTTGCCAAGTTTTCCTTATTACTTGAGCCTCCCTTAATTATTCCTAAACTAGACTTTGGTCGATGTGGAGGATCAGCTAGAGTTGCCAGTTTCTTCTTCTGATGACTAGACAGATTTTCATGGCTTTTACTAAGGTAAGTCTTTCCAAGAGGTGAAGCCGCAGGTTTGGGCACAAGCGTTCCTTTCTGATGAGAACTCAGACTGGAGTTTTCTGACTTTGACTCCTTCATGTGGAAGGCGGTCACTGCCTTGATCGGTGTGGATGTCCGTTCTTGTCTCTTCATCTTCTCATGGTAGAAAATGTATCCTTGAGCCTCATCCACCGAGTTTCCTACAGACACAAAATGTTGACAGTTATAAATCACAACACTGTCGTACTCCATCATATTTAATCCTTGGAAATTACCATAAACACTGAGAAAAACCTCAACAATCTTGAATATATACAAGTACCAGCACGAGAGAGATTATCACCACTTACGAAAATGCTTCACAAATTCAGAAAACGTAAGTCCATCACAATGAAAATTATTACTCAGAAATTCAGCATGCGCTTCACATAATATCCCTTGTTCTACCGAGTACATTTAACACCGAGAGTCAGTGTGGGTTGCAATGTATAATATCTTCTAACATGAACAAAGTGCTTGTTATAATATAGTACATATATAAACTGTGTGACTCAGCTCGACACCACAAAACCTTGTATATCCGTATGCTAGCTAAGAACCTGATAAACAAGCAAACAGAAACAAACTTCTGCAGTACTACAATAAATCAGTCATGTGAGATGTGTATTCAACTATTTAGACATTTATAAAAACTTCCCTAAAATGATAATGTTGGCAAATATGAGAGTCCTATTAAATGCACTTCAGGATTATTTATGACATTTTTCTGAAAATCAGTTTTATGATATATGTATATCAATACCTGATATCATATACATTATATATAATAAATGTGTATGTTATTAGTGCTGTTTAAATCTCCAAGACCCTCTTTTCATTTGAAACAAAGGTAATAAAAAAAATTTATTTTCACCTGAATTTATCCTTAAAAATTGTAAGAAAATTATAATTTTATATTTTACTACCTTGTTGACACAGTCTATTATAAAGTTTACTCTAACTGATCTTTACCCTTTTAAACATTTGTTCTGAATTTCCTTTTATTCTCAATCCAAGCCCTTTTTTCCTGTGTCATAGTCCACACAAAGTTAAATAGGAAGTATTTCAATAAAAAAAAGCTTTCATATAACCCTTCATTACCTTTTCCACCTTGTGATTAGATACATACAAGTTGAAAAAGCTTGCCATATTAATATCATATTGTATTATATTTCAGCATCATTTTAGAATATTTACCCGTTTTCTTGCATGTCAATCAGAATTTAACAAACTTATGTCATAAAACCTGATCCGCTACACAGATGGAGTTTCCCACTTCAAGATTAGACTGACAATTTATTTGGCCTTATTATATTTACCCAGCCATGGTATCAAAATCCTGCAATGTCATTTCACTAGAAATCAGCTGTTATAAATTACTGTACCTGTCATAACATTTTTAACTCAGGTAAACAGCTATTTTATCAACCATTCAGAACTATGGAAATGTTTTTATTACATAGGTATTCCGGCATCTAGGATAAGGGTTTATCAATGATCCTTTGAAATGACCAGACATGAACCTGAACAAGATAAATATCCAAGTTTCTGTGCCTTAGAAGATATACTGAACTGATGAAATCTTGCATAATATATATCTTCCTGTTTTTTGACAAACAATTTTCAGGAGTGAACAAATAATTTAAAGATCACGCTACAAAAAACGTACAATGTAAATATTGTCAAAAAGAATTATCTAAAAAAACATTGTGCAATAAATCACTTACAACTTCCATGGATTGCTATCTGAAATTCTTGTAAAATCCTTCACCCATTTTCCCAGAATTTTTGACCCCATCAGATTTTTTTTTTCACTTTGCTACAATCTACAGACACTGACAAATACACTAATACTACTCCAAACATTTTAAGGAAAAACTACTCAATTTCTATAGTAAAAAACTACTTTTTTCGTTTTCCATAACCCAAAAAATTTCTAGAACAAGGTGAACATGCATCTTTCTAACAAATTAAAAATGATAAACATTTGTTCTACCGCAAATAAGGAAAACTGGAGTATTTCTGCAAAAACGGACAGGGGCCCTTGACCATAAAGATTTCAGAAATGTTTCATGTTAGAATTCATTTAGTACTGTCTCAGCTTGAGGATATACAAGTAGAATGTCCATTCATCACTTCATTTTGACAATAAGGACTACATCTAAACTCCCACATTAAGAGGGTTGTTATCACGATTATATGTAGATTTAGAGCCACAGTAGGCTGTAATTAAGACTTCCTTCACAAATATCTTTACACAGTGAATCTAATCTCCATCTCTGTGAGATCATGTACTTTTGTGCTACTGGTACACTATTTTGATGTGTGTAACACATATCTGCTTACAGATGCATCTTAAGAGAGAGAGAGAGAGAGAGAGAGAGAGAGAGAGGGTGGATTTAAAAAAGATTTTAAAAAACTTAGTCCGTTAAAAAGTCTTAATAAAACCCTTCTTCAATATGTAAATATTGTAAATCTTTTATCAAAGCATTGAAAGAATTAAGCATTTTTACACGGTCATCAAGTCCTTCAAAGTTAAAATTCTTTATGCAAACTTTGAATCACATTCAGCCTTGTTACAAAGAAATGTACTTAAGTTTGAAGTTCGAGTGAGACGCCTTCAGATGTAATGAGTATGTAATCATTACATTTCTAATATACATGTCACACAGGAAATGTCTGACCACCTGAATCACAGGTCACTTAAAACTCTGGACATGTAACTGATGATGAAAGACCCGTCAGAAATACACAAATGACCCTCATAACCTCATTTGGAAGGTCAAAATTACATACATGTCTCTCCATCGCTGTCAATTAAAGTTTGATCAGTCCTTTCATCGATCTCCCTTGAATACACATATAGGGTCTGAGCACAGTATAAATTAATGATGGTTATGCTTGAAATACTTCCTATTGCATGCCAGTCCTCACTGAATTTTACATACAACTCAATATATTTACCTTACTTTTATTTAGAAGATTAAATACTTAATAGGAATTTCTACTCAACATTACAGTTCTCAATAACGTACTCCTTTCATCCATTGTACTGTACTTATTCAAATTACACTAACCTGAACCATCTCTACTGAGAATTTAGAATTAAATCTGCATTAAAATTCACTGACTGTCTAGCAAACAGCTATAATGTTACAAAATCATTGCTGTCCTTTTTTTTTAAATTTCACAATGCTAGCTTATTTTCCTAATTTTAGATTGATTTTCCTCCCAACATCCATTTTAATCACTATACACTATCACAGAAATGACCAAAAAAAAAGAAGAGCCAAGAGGTTTAAACAAGATCAAAATCCTTCATTTAAATTGATTGATTAATAGGTTATATTTCATCATCGTGAAAAACATATTACCCAAAAGCCACAGAAAATACTTGATACAAGAAAGGAGACCAATTTAATCACCTGCTTCCAATTTCATTAACTCACCTAACTTTAATGAAAATCAATCCCTGTGTGCAAAAAGCAAACACGAAATTGAGGGATATGACAAAAGAAGTCTCATGCACAGAATGAATTGTCAAAGGAATGACGTAACATCAAATCGCTTCCAAGTCAGCCTTTCTGATCAATTATTAACTTGCAACCTAGGAACCCCCCAGGACATATTACTCCTAGATTAGATAACATGTCTACATGTAAGTAGTCACCACAATGTGAATTCATACATGACAGCAATATACAAGGGTGCCAATTTCCTTGCTTGTAGATTTCAATCTCAGTTTTCAATCAGCTGGACATCTGCAAAAAAGGAATACACACTTATTATTCATGAAGTTTATCTTTTTATTCACAATGAAATAAGCAATTTTTAATAAATTGAAATTTCTGACAAAAAATCACTGTCTATCATACTATAATTTTCCCTGTTGCTATTAAAGTGTCCTTAAAAGTTTAGATTAATTATAAGCTACTCATTTTGAGGTATTTTATGTCCTAGACAAAGCAGCAGATGTACACCTGTTTCATGCCTTGCTTCAACAGGAAAACCCATGCATGGCATTAATGACTTACAAGCCTTTAATTTGTTAGATGTCTATCAGGAAAATTGCATCATTTCCAATTCAATCAAGTATAGACAAGAGAATTAGAAAAAAAAAGTCTATTTGGACTGATCTCAACATACTTATCTAAATCTGGAGATCTACTGTCCATGATACTAAAATAATATATTTGTGGAAATAAATATGTGAAAATCTTAATCACAAATTGAATAGCTTTGTCTTTTCATGAATTTCACAGTCATAAATTTGCAAGCAATTGCAATGTACACAATATATCAATTTGCAAGTATAGCACTGATGTCTTTTCCAATATAGAAATTCAAATATTTCCTCTTGTTTCTTTTTTTATCTGAACTTTTACTGGCTATTGTGGAGGTATTCTATCAGAAAAGTAAAACAACTCTATGCTCATGCCCATTAATATTGATTCAAATATGACTTTATAAATGTTGGGGGGGGGGGGGGGCATCATTTTACCTCTGCCATTCTATATATTATATTCATTTGAATCATACAGCACTTAATTCTTAAATTGTTCTACTGTCAGTTTATAATATGATGGAAATACACAAGGTACTCCAGACATTGGGTCATGGCAAGTATTACAAAAGCATTTCAATCTATTGTAACTATTATGTAAGCTTAAATTTTTCATCAGTATCAAAGCATTTGAAAACTTATTCACATACAGGTGCATGAATATCTATGCTTACAAAGTGTTCTTCACAAACCCTTTTCCTTTTTTTCTATCAGACACTGATTTGTATGTGTGTGTGTGTGATTGAATGCTATTGACCAATTAGTGCATTACAAAGCTTGTGTTCAGTCAAGAATAGGAGTAAAATATACGGTTAATTATCGGATACCATTCTTAAAGCGGGGGAAAGCATAGAATACAAGAAATAATATCCAAAGTGAGCGACAAAAAAAGCTTCTGCATAAATCGAAGGTTTTTAACAACGCTTGAATTTGTAGCTCTCTGCTATATCTGTATGAATTTTCTCAAGCAGAGAGCTACATTTCAGACCCTGTGAGTTGCATTATGTTTTTTTTTAATTATGATCCACCAACTGAGGTTACCAGGTGCATCTTAAAACTCAAGCGATTATAAATTTCATGTACCGAAAGGTAATCCAGCTCAAAATGTCCATAAATTATAAATCAAATTGCCAGTATTTATTTTTAGCTTTTACGATGAAATGACTTCTTCAAAATCGAAAATGTACAACATGCAACACTGGTCATGACACTGACAGTTGATACCACTTTCGAAACATGCACCGCCGAGTTTAGATGACAAATCACTTGTGTGCAGCCTTTTTCTCAACATTTATTTTTTGAAATGCAATGAAAACAATAAAACAATCAGATCTTACCATGCAAACAAATAGAAAAACACATAACATCGGCTCTTTGCCTATTTCCGAATTTTGGTCGACCAATTTTAAAAGCACTTCCGCTCCAATGCTCAAAATGCGATGCGCA